AATTTCTCTCGTTTTGTCGAAACAATTTTCTTTCTCTGTGTCACTGTTGGCGAGATGACGCTTTCTTCTATCGTGCTCTTTGCGATGCGACACAGCCGAGGGCATCTAATTACATCCACTTGAGAGACCAGTATTCCCCTCGTCAAGTCGCGCTAATTAATTTGTGTGCGCGAGAAACCGACGAGGGGACACGTGCGTTCGGAAAAAGCGAAGTCTCGACTCTGTCGTCGCGCTTGGCTCAAGAGAGATCGTCGAGATGACGTTGACAGCTGCAAGGCTACGTGATCTTAGTATCAAAGAATTTAAATCGCAAAAGTCAACTATTGTCTCTGCGCAGCCTGTGAAATTCGCGATTCTTTTGAAAAAATATGTAGATGATGAAAACTGATACGAATCGTGAGAAAATACGCGACAGCAGATTCTGAATCACACACAGATCGGGACGCGATTCTGTAAAAAATATTTTTACACCCGCCTTTTTCTGATAGAATTAATTGCGCGAATCGGGGAATCAAAATTCAATTCAAAGGATATGATATCGAGAAGAAATCCAGCTCGACATTTCGTTGAAGCGACCGAGGTCGAGGATGACGCAGAAGAAAGTCGAGAGATTAGCAATAATTAGAAACGCTGATATCAAACACGACTGTCGATAAGACGTGACTGAGAGAGAGCGTTTACAGAGATAACTCGCGTTGATATTTTAAATAATAATTGGAGCAAACGCGAGAAAGCGTATTATACAAGACATTTTTTACTTATAGTAAATCATGTGAAACTATTTTTTCCTCTTTTTCTTATACGTGCATCCACGATTATATCTGTATATATTATTTGAAAACAACGTTCAAGGATCGGAGTAGGCCTTAAGGAACGTCGCACAACTCCGGATGCATTATCGTCCGCGGGTGTGATAACGAGTGCAACGAGATACCGGGTGTGAACATATGCGTCGCAAACAACGACGCAGAAACATCCGATACGGAATCGCGAGCGATACGTCGTGTCGATTTCAAGAAACGATATCGCTCTTGAGAAAATAAAACCGTAATCGATCTCATCCGAGCGGGCGCGAACTTGGTTTCTCGTACGTTTTGCGATCTGTAAATGACTCATATGAGAGTCGATATCGGTCGATATCGGCGAATACACGTACGGAAAAGACGAGCATTTAGTGAAAGGTAAGCATTCGTGGCCGAGATTCGAGTCTCTCGATCGATGATGAGCTTAACTCGAGCCACGATTCAGCATTATTGCGTCGATCTACTCGAGTGAGACACCCGGTATATTATACGCAAGAGCGATTATTCGCGATTTATTATTCGCGCTCGTGCGGCCAGCCACCGTCGTTGTAATTTGTTTAGACTTTTCTCTCGCTCCTTCTCTCTCTTACTCTTTCATGCGATCTGGCACGATAGAAATGATCCTCTTTCGCCTCCCTTAGCTCAATTGAACCTTCTTAACCGCAAAGACCCGCGCCTTTGCGTCGGGACGCGCAAGCTCAATTTCGTCCCCTGAATAGTGATACTTAGGGGATTACTTCGCGAAATGTATAATGCGAGGACAGGGATTTCTCAGGAGGATTCTCAAGTATAAAAAGGATTCCTAGAGAATCGCAGAAACTCGAATACACGAATGGGGTCCGACTTTATCTACATGTGTATATCTTAATCCCCGGTCGAGTTCCTCATGAATGGCACTTGTGGACCGTGCTTAATTCGGCACTGTGACCCTAATTTAAGTCGTCCAGAGGACTTCGGAGAGAATGAGAGAAAAAGAGAGGGAGAAAGAGAGATGTTCATTGCTCGCAAAAAGAGTTGTGCGCGAATCAAACGTATATACACAGATTCGTTTCTTTCGCGAATGTCACCGAAACCGCCGAATCGAAAACGATGAATCGCGCCAACGGCGAAGAGCGACCGCCACGTAACACCTTGAAATCCAGTTTCCCGCTGCAGAACACGCTGAAGAACGAGAAATGTGAAACGTCGCGTTGTCGTTCGGGCTTGACAGCCGTGCGTGCTGTCTTGCGGATTTTTTTAAAGGGTCCTATTGGCTATTTACACAGTCGTACAGTGCCCCTTTTCGTGTCACAAAGAACTCCTTTATGTATCCGGGGCTCGACTCTTATTTTACGAAAATTGCAAACCGAGCTCGAAGGGAGGAAAAAGAAAGGACGGCACGAATTAAGAGATAGTGAAATTCTTATTAACATACCTCGCTTTCTATACAACAAGTATTGTATTTTCAAGAGTCATGAGGATTATCAATATACCTCTTTGCGCTATGAAAAGTAGTAATGAAACTTTATACCAGAGATGATGTTTTATGTTTTTCATACAAGTTTACGATATCTTACGAGCCACTTTATGACGGAAAATAATTAAAGAGCGAAAGCGTTGCGATCGAAATTATAACATAAAGCCACTATCGAGTATGATTCATTAAAATCTCGACGGGATTTCGCAATGCGGGATCGCTGGTGACATAACCCTTTGTATAGAAATGCGGAAAGTACGGCAAGTTTAATAAGGTTCCCGTTAGAAGAGAGAAAGGGTTGTACTTTTGTTGTGGGCGATATACGCAAGGGGAGGAAAAAAAAACAATTCGTATATACAGCCGTATACAGAAAACCGGCATTGAAACGCCGTAACGCAAGTAGGTTCGTCCGCTTTCTTTGCTTACTGTTTCTTGACCCGCCGTAAACGTAGGAATTTAGGTATCTTACCTCTTTTCGCGTTAAGGAAAGATTAACGGGCCGCCTGTAATTTCGTTCGCTCGACGATCATCGCAAATCACCATCATTTTGTTTATTTTTACAACACGTTGGATGTTTATTTTAGATAGATCCGTTTGATTAGAGATACGATATACAGCTTTATCGCAACTGCAAACATCAGACATCAGACTCTGAACGTCGAACAATGATCTAGTTTTGCAACACTTATGCGCTGAAACGTCATCGTCATTTCCTGCGTACCTAATGCGCTCTTAATACGCTGTTACCGTAAGAGTCTTACACAGTCCGAGATACGATCGTTCCTCAAATTATGTTACATTACCGCCATCAAAATCATTTAACGCATGACGCGGGATAATCTCCCAATTATACTTGGAGAGCTGTCATTTTCGATTTCCTAAGATTTAATACCTATATATTTCACGGTATACATCTCGTATATATTTCTGTTGTCCAGAAGAAACACGTTTTCCGCGAGAATTCGCCCGCTAGAGAGTCCATTTTCACGTTCCCCGCGCACTGGATGGATGGCCACGTAAAAGTATCCCGTTAGCACGGTAGCCCAGATACCGGATTACGGAGCACGAATTGTCAATCGCGTGCGAACGAGACGGACTTCTAAAAGACCTTTTAAAGTGATGAGGTGCCTTTACCGTTTCATATTTGTACGAAATATTAGAAGCTGTTCGCGAACCCAAGGAGCGAAACAATTTAATATTGTCCACTTGTTATTTCAAGACTTTCACGGAGAGCGAGCGCAGAATCAGCAGAAGTAATCTAAAATAAGGTTTTACATCCCAAAATAGAAACTCTATAATTTTATGCAAATAAGCTGTGTAAAGCTTGATTGAACGTGTATTTAATGGAAGAGAAACTGTTTACGTTTGTTCTTCATCAAATTGCTCATTTGCCTGTATTGAATCAACACAGTGTTATCGTTGCTAGCACGTCGCCGTTCCATTAACATAATTGTTAACAGAGCCAGCTCGACTGATCGGCATAATATAGAGTAAACAAGCCGGCGAAGCCACTTAATCTTCAATTGTCGCGATCTGTGCGGGTTACATTCCATTTTACGAGGATTTTCAACATGACGTCCGTCCGGCGGCTGAATGATGGGAATCGAATTTTTCAACAGAATTTTTTAAAACGCTCTTCTCATTTGACGAAACAATTTCTCGTTAAAGTGGAGCCGCGATAAACTCAAGGAAGTGAACGCATTTCTGTACAGACAAGATATCCGGTGAGATCGATAATAGAGTTTGAGCTAGAAAACGAGAGCCGGAACCCGGATTTCAGGGAACGATGAATTTTCGTTCGCAATTAAACCGCGATTAGGCAACTTGGTGTTGTAACAACATATTCCAATGAATCATAATATCGATAATAGCGTAACGCCGGCGCGGAATCCAACAGAGGCGAATGGCGCGAATTTATGTCTCTTTGGGTTGCCTGTTTACAAGATGTAAACCGCGAGTCTGATATATAATTAAAATCATTTCTTCTTTCGGTCCGACATGTTCTCCGCTCGTTTCTGCGAGAGAAGGCTCCGAAGGGATCTCGTTTGTGTTCTCTAATAATAAAACTGTATTGTCTGGCGAAGAGAAAATTAACCGACAATGCTTTTTGAATGTGTTTTTTAAATTAAATTTTTCAACTATCAAACAGAGAGGAAATTGTAATTAATAAAAAAGAAAGTTTCACATGTTGACTGTAGTGAAAAGATATGATTTTTAAAATGAACACACATACCTATTTATTGTAATCACTTAAATAAGGTATCCCAAATTAATGGGAAATTTTGTGATTACTAGGTATCTATGTAGAGAGTTCAATTACTATAGTAATTAACCTATTTGATACGCTATCGGCGTCGTATAATGGTTCCCTGCTGTTGCTGTGATGATAATTCTTTAATTTGACGCTCAACACGTCTCTGAATATTTTCATTTATATATATATATATATATATATATATATATATATATATGGTTTTCATAATTAACTGACGATTAACTTGAAATTTAAAAAGATATATTTATATATATATATATATATATATATATATATATATCTTTTTAAATTTCAAGTTAATCGTCAGTTAATTATGAAAACCATATACACGTGCTCGTTACCGGAACATTTTTAATTTAATACTTTTAAAATAATGACTTTAATCTGTTTTTGTATATTTTTAGACTCTTTTATACTTGTGTAAAAATATATACGTAGGAATATTAAAAGAAATTCGCCAAGTTACCTTTAATTTTGGTCTCCTGCGGATCCAAGGGAGGCAATCGCGGATGCGTTTGCTGCCCTGGTTTCTTTAACAAAACACCCACGACTTGCGGCGGTGGCATCATCATCTTGGCTTCTCTTCCGAGCTGCTTCCTCTCACTATCAATTTGCGTCGTTCGTCATATCTCTCTCTCTCCCTCCCTGTCCTCTGCAATCGCCTTTACAAATCGCAGAATCAACAGGCTGGGATTTCGTCGAAAGCGCTACGAGTTTTTCGGCTTCGGCTCCGAAGCGGAAAACCGAAATTCGCGCGCAGAGTCTCGTTCAAAGTAGCAGCAGCTGCTGATGGTTGTGGTTGTCTTGTTGGCCAATGTTGGCTCGTCGAGAAAGGAAGGAACGCCGGCCGGGATCTCCTTTCCACTGACGACGTTCTTTCGCAGTGTGTCGCCTCGTTATCGCATTCGCTCGCTACGCACTGTCGGTCGTCCTTCTTGTTGTTGATCGTCGCTATTTTTTTTAATTTAATCGACGCGCGAATATGATCCCGCGCGATTCTCGTCGCGTCAATGACGCCTGCTCCGATTTGCAAGCTATTATGGATGGATTCGCCGACGAATGTCAATGGAATTGTTCTGTTCGAGAGTTCAATCTCGTCGACGATCGATGACGATTTCTAAACGCTCGACGGGATCGACGATTCGATCGCTCCAATTTATCATTGTTTTGCGAGAACTCGTTTCTCCTCGCTCCACCGCGAAACGAGGAAGAGGAACCTGAGGAGAGAGAAACGCGCCCGTCACACATACAAAACACTTACAATCGCGACCCGATTGAAATTAATTAATTGTGACGCCGATTTCACCCGGCGCCGTAATCCGCGGAGCTTATCACGACGAGTCGTGATAAGTCGTAATTGGTACAACGACACGCAGCGAGTGATACAATGATTATTATATTTGAACGTGACAAACGTTGCACTATTTTACATGTCGACTCGCGGCTTTTAATATTGCAAGCCTAGCCAGAATGTGATCGCGATACGACACTGCGTTGAATGTGTGTTGTTGTCACTCCCCGAACTTCCGGCGCGATGGTAATTGGCCGGTTCACCGATTACTTCGAAATCAACGATGAGAAAGCGGAGCCGGCTGACGACGACGTGTTGGAGGGTCACTATTCGACGAATGTCACTTCCACTCTGCGACTATATAATTCCTCTCGAGAGTCATCAAACTTTGCCCGTCATCGTCACAATAACAACAAAACAAAACTTTTACCAGGCTTGGCACAAATCAGCTTAATAATAAATAATTTAATTTCCTTGGTCAAAATAAATTTTCCGAATAGTTATTACGAAGGGATGATCGATCTTGTTCGTGAATATCCTGTGGGAGGGATTTTACACGCGCGTCGGCACGAATCGAAAAATCGGAACGTCAAGGAGCGCCGATAATGTGACAGCTGACAGCTGGGCGCGCGCGCGACGAACGACTGATCGTGAAGCGAATGCGGCCTGAACGAGAGAACGTATCGCACACCCTATCCCCTCTTGCTTGCCTGACTAGCCCCACTACTCGCCATCTGCGTCTGTTTTCTTTTTCTCTCTTCCAACACTGAGAGTAGGAAAGACAGACGCACAACCCTCGCGGACCTTTAATCGTGTTTACGCCTTGCGACTATCACAGCGGCATAATAAAGCAATGTTTACACTATTCCTTTATATATCTTGTGTTCAAGTGATAAATATTATTTTCTATAGAATTAGATAATAAATATTCCGTATTATAAAGTATTTATTGGCGAGGGAATTTTAGAAAAAAGAAAAGAATTTTAGAAAAATTAAAATTTTCAGGAAACGCATGATAAGCTGTAGAGAATTTTACAATTCTACAATAACCTTTATCATCAGCAATTTACATTATTTCTTCATATCTTGTTTACAGTAATAAATATAATTTTTAGAATAGAATTTCCCTTATAGTAGAATTAAATATAATGAATATTTTGTATTTTAAAATATTTTTTCTCGAAAGAACTTTAGAAATTAAATTAAAATTTTCGGATAAACGCAATAAACTATAGAGAATTCTGCAATTCTACAACATTGTTCTAAAGCAATAATATTTCAATTAATTTGATGCTAATTATCGTCGAGTCAATACACAAAGTCAATCTTGCACTTGCTGTTTCTTATTTATAATATTATATTTTGAAATTTGACATTTCGTCCATGAAAGTCGCAAATGATCTGCGCGAGTTTATATATTTTTCGAAATGTTATGATTGTATTGAAAGAGATATGTAGGTACCATTACCTGAAGAGGAAAAAGCAGTTGTGATAGCGTTCAAATTTTGCAATGTATTGCTATTAATATTAAAAATTTATTTCCGTTCCGATCATTACCTATGCAATATACATTGCTATACTAGTTTATTCATTGAAAGGATACGGAAATCGATTTTTCCAATTTTTTGCTAGCAGGATGCAGGAACTCCATCTCGGTCTATGACGCGCGAAGGTCTCAAGACCGCCGGTCTATGACGATAAAATATTAAAAACGCGGTGACACACTTTCACCGTTAAGTGCCGCTACTATGTACCTGCAACGTAATGTAACGACTACCATTCAGCTTTTGATGCTGGAGCGAGCGCTAGAGCACATTGTGCATAAAAAATCTTGCGGAGGAGATATTTCCCCTATAAGATCTTTATAAGACCAGAGCACTGAGAAGCGGGAATATCGTCGACTTTACTGTGTACGAAAAGCGGCAAATCGGTGCAGTTGGCGTGATTCAACTTGTTCTCTCCCACTCGATCTTATTCTTTTTTTCTCTCAATATCAACTTGGTCTGAGTGTAGCGAAATTACAACGCGACGAAATTATAATGCATGCTGCTGAAGGCGTGAAAGCACTCCAAGAGGTCATTGCATAGCATTATCGATCGCACGATGCACGCTGGGAAATATCGTCCCTTGTGTCCTGTCGGGGCTCGAACGCCATAAAACTTCGAAAAATGTCATGAAGATCGTGCGATTCGCGCGCATATAATAGCGGTGACAACTTATGGGCGAGATTCACGCATTGTGATGAAAGTCGGAGATCGAAATTCGAAGAATCCAAAGGTTAAATAAGGGAGAGAACTATTTCACAGTAAAGACACTATGCGCAGGAGCAGATGAACAGATAGGACGTTACGGTATAAAGTCGTGAAATCGATCGAATCGCGACTGAATAGAACAGTGAACTTCTCTGATATTTTTTGGGAAGAAAATACCAGTTCCTGAAGGGAAACGAAATGCTATATGGGATAAAAAATGGGAAGATGATTAATATTATTATTTTGCATCAAATTTTTATATTCCGAAGAGACATTTTTGTTAAGTTTGAGATTTTTTAATTGCAATTTATCAAATAATATTATAATAATGACGCACTTTGCAAAATATTTTATAGTAAAATATGTTATTTCTAAAATAAAGATATGTTTTAGAAATAAAATTTATATTTTATAGATAGAAGAATTGCAAAATGGTTAGTACATGAAAGATTTAATAATTATCTCTTGCATTATTTTCTGATTAGTCGCAAAAAGTCTTACTTGTTGAAGTTGAATTTTATTCACGGATCGAATCATTGATCAGACAAATTGCATGGTTGATTGCGTCGAAATGAGGTATACAGGTAATTGAATGGCGCGTCGATCCATATTAGGATAAAATACGTGTATCAATAATCGCGCAACACAATGTATATTTCTTCAATATTTAACTACTAAATATATTCGCGCGCGGACAAAGCGCAGCCGTCGGATTTTAGCTGGTGTACGGATATAATAAAGCTTTACGAAAAGATATATTTTTGCCTTTCTTTCGTGCGGCAAAAATGCGATCGTCCTGAGCGTACACCCAGCTATTCGAAGGAACGAGACTGCGAAGCGAAACGAAGAGGGCCAAAAATATCCGATTCCTGGTTACCAGCGTCGCGCCCCGGTCTGATTCCCCAAAGGCAATAAGACGACGTTCTTTTCATCCTGAAATAAAATTCGCATCGCGGATGCAGCAGTGGTCCCCGAGCGCAGCTTCGAAATATCACGGCGGCGATATGTTTCGTATCGTAAAGCCGAGAAGTTTAGCGACCAGTCGCAATTAACGTCCCCGGGCTTTCTCTTTAAATGTTGGATTTAAAATTCTACGAGGTCCAAAAAGTTACGAGCGGTCGCGTCGTCTGTAGAATCGCGACGTGATTAAGCAACGATGACTTTTAAGTAAATTGCCAGTTATTTCGGTATATTCGTCTTTAAGAAAGAGAGAGAAAGAGAAAGAAAGGGAGAGATAACTTGTTTTTCGGATGTAAAAGATAATTAATTTTCGCCACTGTGCTATTTTGTAATTCGCCAGTCTTAAAACTCACAGGGACGAATCTTTAGTCTCATCAGGCTCGTTTAACGCGCGTGTGCTTGCGCATTAGTCACGATGTCACTTAATTAATTAAAATTGCTCGCTGAACGCCAGCCAACACTAATCAAAAAGCAATGTCACGTATACAAAGATGTAAAGAAATAAATTAATTCCCGCGCTCGCCCCTTTTTTAAGGAGTTTCTCCGCTTCGTGTATACTAATTAAATTACATTCTTCTTCATTGTGCAAAATTAAATAAATTTTGTAAATATGGAATAAAAAGAAATATAATATTTTCTTTTAATTATTCTCGTAATTTTTTCTCATTTCTGCATTCTCGTTGAAATTGTACATCGCTTTGCTAGGAACGTCCCGTTGCATTCATGATGACCGATACAGATAAAGGAATAAGATTCGGACCATGCGCTTAGCACAGCAAGCGCATATATATGTATCATATATGCGCAACTCTTACTTTCACTAAGGAAACCGTGTATTCGTTACGGCACGTCAATTTTACAAGTCAATTATAACGCGTTGGTAAAAATTGTTTTGAAATTGTTTCGAACACAGGGTCCGACATGAATCGCGTCGAGTTTGCTTCTACACTCAACGGCATCATCCAAGGATATTTTAGAAAATAAAAATTATACCGTTTATTTAAAAAAAATTTTTTTATCTCTTCAATTCATATTTGCACGTCGAACAAAACAACAAAGCAAAATCAACGCTGTTCTCGTAACTTGTGCGTTTTACACGATTTTCCATTGAAAAGAGGAATTTATAAACGTTCTATCGTCTCGCCATATTCCCCTATGCGATCCAAATTTAGACGACCGTTTGTAAGCCTCGTCTGTGCATTCGTTCAGTCGCTCTGTTGCTACTTTGCTGTATATCGCGAACGAATATTTTACAATTTTTCACAATTGCTACAATTGTCATTCAGGACACGAATAGCATCTTGAAGAAAAATAACGTGATTAAAAAATTTTTTCTTCTACGAAAAACGATAAATTAAATACCATCATAAAATATAATCGCATCACGTTTGTACAAGAAATACACTGTCATCTCGAAAACTATCTCAGCGGATATAAACGTATAGGAATAAATAAAGTTGTGGAACAAATCACGATATTTTTATTATTTCTTCGTCAAATATCAGTAAAGATTGCTTCTGTTGTACATGAATGGGTAGATACCGTTGATAAATTTTAGGAATTGCACCAGAATTTTATCGCAGGACTTTGTAACATCCTGTGGGATAACGTATCAACTAAAGCTAAAAACATAGCGAGGAAATTCTATTGATAAGATACGCCGACAAGGACAGCAGATATATTTTTATTCATATTAATTTACGAAATCTTGAAGCAAGATATTAAACAACTCACATAATAAATGTAATTTAAAGAATTACATACAAAGTACATATCCTGTCTTGTAAAATATTGTTTAAAGAAAGATTATTTCGAAAAAAATATTTTTACAGAAAAAAATATTGCTAGGATTTATACTCGTATTAAAATCTTGAACTAATTAATAATTAACTGATTAGTTTGAAAAAGGCTCCGACGGTGATGAATATTATGCGTGATGAAAATGAAGATTTCGATTCGCTCCATTAACTCGCTCAAAATTTTATCAGACTCATGAATATTTCAAACGAATCAGTTAATTATTCAATTAATTAAAAAGAAGATATTTCTTGCTACAATGTGCTAAAGAAGACGCTGAGTAGAAGTACTTTGCGATGCGTCGGAAATATTAGTGCATAATTAATTTGCTACTCAAAGACTAGCTAGAAAGTAAACGTTTTGAAAGCTCGTTTCGATGCGCCGTGCTACGAAATAATAGATCGTCCGAGTTGCGCACACGAGATCATATATCAGCTGTCAAAGGAAGATTTCGTGACATTTGTCGTTAGACGAGACTGCCGATATAAACCCAATAGCGCCGCTGAACTCTGACACCTCGTAACTGCGTGACTAACGAAGCATTAATCAGCGAGCCACAAATCTTCGTTTAGTTTATGCGGAAAAGATGGGGCCAAGCTCCGAAGGCGCAATATCTCTCGATCGGATGATGAACCCGCGTGCTTGGACCAAGTTCTCCCCCTTCGGGTGAATTACTTTTCAGATATGCGTCTACATCTGCGAGATAACACGCGAGGAAGGAGTCATTTTAGATTTGAAATCCGAATTTATCTAACCATCATAACGAGATAAATGGTTTAGGCTCTTCTATATCGCGATGCACCATCTCCATCTGTGCTAGTTTTCTCAGGGATCATTCGGCTAATTTGCGCACGCAATTGGTGCCATTATTCATCGAGTTGTACGGCTATTAAGTTACGCATTTGCCACCCTGAAAGTAAGGTTTTCTATCGCGATAGTTTAAGACGCAATCATTCATGTTAGTATCCTGTCATACGAGACTACGTGGCGTGAATTGATAAGAAATTGACTTTTATGTCATAACGATAGAAAGTGGAGATTAATATAAAAACAGGTCGCGGTCGTAACGCGACACGGGTATAAACGTCTGTCATACTATTTAATGAGACTAATGGTTTGCCGTATATCGATGATTCAGTTATGGTCGCTCTGGTTTTATCACTGGAGCTAGGAACGACGTTACCCAGCAAGTCGAATGGCTTGGATTTTCCTGGTAAAAGAACGTCGGGGCTCGAACAAGGTCGGCTTTCACCAGTATGATGGCGGTACTGTTCTGTCAAAGGAAAATACAGCCACGGGAAAATATATTATACCTCGGATTTCGAACTTGGTTTATTTTGACCTTGATTTTTATTTTCTTTTTTTTGAAATCTATTATTATAGTATCTCGAATATGTCCACGTCCAGCGTTTAATTACTTAGATAGACGCCAGTATAAGATGTCTTATAAAAATTTACATATATTTTATTTTAAAAAATTCAAGAAGAAAATACCAGACACTCTTAATTATTATTAATGCTGTAAAATGAGTAGACAGGAGAATAGCATTCGCTTTCTTTATTCTATTGTTACCTGAATGTTCTCTTCTATTTTACATGAAATGGATGTAAATCTTTTCTGTCAGAGTTAACGAGAACATAGAGATTAATATAATCGCGTTCTCGCGATCAAGTCTCTCTATAAAACCCGTTTTTACGTTTCGTCGGCCATTTCAATTTACTCCAATTTCATTTCTCGGCGAAACCGGACGCGTAAATTACACCGATTACGCGTTTCACTGGCAGACTAATATGCCTCGGTTGATTAATACCGACATATTCTGAGAATTCTTATATTGTCTGCACCTGCTAATCCGTGAATGGCATTACTCGTTCTCGGTTTCTATCCAGAGGAAATCGACACCTCGCGAACGATAGCTTTCTATCTGACACAGGCAATGAAACATCGTAATCGTTCTTCTCGACGGGGCAAAAGGGAAGCAATATTTCTTTTTCTACAACTTTTACGTATAACGTAGAGCGTCTAATTTAATCATTTGACATGATTAAGTAAAGGAGAAAGTATAAAATGGTTTATTAGATGATTAAACGATAGATTATTCGCGATCGTATGAATGCGAATATTTCACGCAGCACTCTCGTAGATTGAAATAATTGGGAAAATAATATTTTAAACCAGTTCCAGCGGTAAAAAGTGAGCCAGAGAATGCCGTAACTTTCAACGCGTAACTCTCGCAGGCTTCTCGGACCTCTTCCGCTGTGAAGTGGCGAGGGATTTACGACAAAGTGCACGGAAGAGCCATTTCTTGTTACAGTAAGAGAATTACAAGGGGGGTTGCCTTTATGAGCGCGGTGTGGCGGCTGATAGTGGGGGTGGCGCAATGCGGCGCCGCATCCGCACGCGGGCGGAAAGACCGCGCCGAGAGAAATCTTGGAGCGCGGTATTGCATTGTGCGCGAGAACTTGCATATATGTATATAATATACAATCGATCTTCCGCAGCTTATCCGCAGTTAATGAAATGTCGCGCAATCATAATAAAAGAGATCGTTAATTAATGCGCGCGGCGCAAAATGAGTAGACTCCGATCAAACATCTCTGGGCGCGAGAGCGTGAAAATGCGTAAGATGATAGCGGGTACAGGTTGTGCGTCGTTATCTGCGTGATGAATGTAGCGATAATAATCAGATGATAACAATCAGATAACGAGGCGCGGGAAATGCGCGCGTGGCCGGAACGGCGTGAAAAGTTCCTCTTTCCACGCCGGTTTCTCGTCGTCTGCGACGTTTTCTCCTTTCCCTCCAGGAAACCGCGCTGCTCCTCTTTATTCTCATCTCATCGGCGTAGCGACCTCCCCACTACGAAGGCTTCCCGCGCTCTCGTATCGAACGCCCTGTGACGTCATTGAACTCTGTATGACGTCGTACCAGGGGCTCTCATCCGAGAGAACCGTGGGCGGTTTAATGGCGATGCGAAGAGTTACTCGGGCAATGTATGTCCGATAACGTAACATTAATCAGAACCCTCATCCGCAACGACGATTTAAATTCAGGTACAAATTACTGGTGGTCGTTCAATTATACCGTAAACGCATGGATGAGAAAAAGGCCATTTGCAAAATATCTCTTTGACGGCAAACTCGGCTTTCTTTTCGCTCCACGGAAATAGCGTGCGATGCACAACCGAACGGTCGTTAAGAAAACATTAACAGTGCACACGATCTTGAAGCAAATTTAAAGGCTTTCTCTTTCTCTCTCTCTTTCTCTCTCGCATAACTTACAACTACCCTTTTTGAATTTATTCTTGTTGCCTCGAGATTGCATTATTGGCCTGCACGCCTTTTGTCAACTTTTATCGGACCGAAAACTGGTGTGTGGGCTGGTGCATATAATCGCACACGTTATCACATGGCTGGTACTATGGTACCCTAAGTTAGGGGGATGTGCGAGGGTAGGAAAGCATCCGTCACCAACTCCCCGGGGACCATTGATCTGACATTCTGCGCGGTGACGTCACCGCCGTTCGATAGAAACGGGTCAAACGTCACGAAAAATGGTCTCGCTCGAAATTCCTGGCTGTGATTCAAGAGAACGTTGCAGCTCTCGCTTCTTCTTCATATGCATGATAATATTATGCGGCGAAGTGAACGATCAGTCGAAACCGATTTCTAGATATTTTAAGAATGGTAATTCAAAGAATACAAAAGTATACAAATAATAACATAGATAGAAATTTATTTTTAATTAATAATAATCTCGAAAAAATGGCGTTACATTTTTTTCTCAGATGGCAATAGCATTGCGAAGCATTGTTTCTCTAATCTCTTAAGTTCTTATAAATCTCCTACGATTATAATAAAAGTGCGATTCGATAAATGTTAGCTCGTTATAGGGGAGCCAATTATCGTAATTCTAATTCAATAACAGATGTGCCCTATAGAGAGCGGAATCCCCATTTATCGGGAAACTTTTATCGAAAGTTCACTAAACTCGAATACCGTAACGACGTGAGATTGTAAGACCATAGGGATTAAGACGAGATAAAAAGAGAGAGTAAGAGAAAGACAGAGAGAAAAAAAAAGAAAAGAAGGGGAAAGGTAAGTCTCGACATTGGAAAAGCGACTGCTCTGTCAGATCTGAGGGAGAGGAACGGGAACGCAACGCTCATAAGAGAGAAGACTTCTCACAGAGATACCTACATCCCTCGTTTCTTCCCCAGACGTCCATCGCTTTTCCCTCCTTCTTTTATCGATCCTCGTCCAACCAACGAAGCTTCTGCTACAGCCAAAGCCAACAACAGCAGCACCAGCAGCAGCAACATCAGCAGCAGCAGCAGCAGCAGTAACAGCAATCAGCATCGCCCATCATCCCTTTCAGTGGCTGCCCGGCCACCACGCCGGCATAACTGTTTCGATCGGGTCGGTTTTGTGCGGCGCTCCACCACGCATTGCGTCACGCAACCTGGCATCGCGCACCCCTCTCTGTCTTGCTTCCTCTCGCTTTCTCGGTGGTGCTCTCCGCTCGGAGAGTATACGTTTCTCCGGAAGCAGCCGACGCGCCGGCCGGGCGCGCACGAATCGCGGCGTACGGGGGCGCGCGAGCGAGCCGGGGGTTGCACGGAACGAGCAGTGTGCTCGCAAGGGTTGCCTCGGCTTGCCAGGCACGCCGCCAGTGCAGCCGCCGGTTTGGATAGTACGGCGATGCGTTCGGCTGTGCTGAAGCTGAGCTGAGCTGAGCGCGCGCGAGAGAAGGAGAAGGCTCCTTCTTCTTCGCTCATCCTGTTCGCGACTTGCCTTGGAGGGGTGAAGAGGACAGGACGATGTAAGTGATGAACGTGGATCGAGAGCGATTCATCTGGCACGTGATGCCAGAGTGAGATATTCCATTCCTCGGGATGTTGTATTCGCGGAGAAGGAGGTGACACGCGCGCGGGAATAAGATTTACTCCCTTGCGAGGATGAGTAAATTCTTCCTCGTGGGCGAAAAAAAACGTTTGATATATGTACTCGACACGGGGGTCGATGAAGGCGGGCGACACGCGATGGTCGATGATTCGCGCGGACGTGTAGTACGCATCGTCTTGGCGGGAACAATGACAGGTGACGAGAGAGACATAGTTCTCTTCGTAGCGCTTCATGCGTCCTCGTCACGACGTTATATATCGGCGGTAATAGCAGCTGTTGCGAGGATGAATGAAACTCGACCGATTTCATATCCGATACGCAAACGACGTAATATTGTGATATAATGAAATTATGAAAAGCAGAAAAAATCCTCGAATCGAATTTTTTTCGAAGAGAATTCTCGAAGGAAAATCTCGTAGCAAGGCGCGAAGAATGATGGTACGACGATTCGCCGTAGTTGGTAGAAAACTGATCGCACAATCTGCAACAAGGAAACCCCATTGCGTTAGTGATTGATGTTTCTTGCCTGGTTGCACGACAAACAGCACGACTAGGGTGACAACAACTTTACACTTAAATGTTTAGAACTTAGTCTTTCTTGTTCTGTACAAACTCGACTATCATTATTTTACGTCGAGCAAATCTCATTCACTATACATCATTGAAAGAGCTTTTGTGTGCTCATGAAACATATCTTTTTAAAATATAATTGTAAGTAAATCAGCATTCGAATAGATTTGTTTAGATTAATCAATAAACTTATTTGACTTCTTTTTTAATTCGAGATACGCCGAGATACTTAAATATATTATATTTCACCCACATTGCCTTCACCTTACACAGGTGATCAACTAGAGCCTATGTCGTGTCTGTTCATCAAACGTTGACTGATGGTGCGCTGCTGCAGCTAGAGCTGACGTTTGCCGCCTTGTTATACTTTTTCATCGAGCAGCGCGAAGACAAAAAAAGAGCGCCCAGATCGATTCTAATAGCGTGGCGAGTCAATCGAACCGAGACTTGACAGTAGAAAGAACATAAAAATAGCGGACGCGGAATGTGTACTTGGCCGTAGAAATATCGTGAACGATGTTATCCCGCAATGTTGGGGTTGTCCTTGCTCGCGCGACCGCGCTGTGTCAACGCTGTGTCAAGGCAAACTGCATACGTACGTGCGATATCAGATCGGTCCGATAATATTCGCGCTCTAACAAAGTAATAATTTTCTTCGAACATTTGATCGCCTCTCATAACCCTGCCCTCGCCAACTCTCGTCGTCCTCGGTTCGCAGGGGGTGCGGTTGACGTGAAATTCACCCGAATTTCCAAACATTAATTAAATCGGAGACTTCCAGGTATTGTCTCTAATTCAACTCTGACTGCTGAATCGAATTGAAATTCACATCTTGCGCGACTAACTTTCTTGGAGAAGGTAACAGCATGTTAATGAATATAATTCTATAAGGAATTATACTACTTCGTTGACAGCTTCAATTATTGCAAATCAATTTGATATTAGTTGCACGTGTCATATGATTACGATCGACAATCTGTTCCCCTTTTTTCTCTCATCTCCCCTTCGCTTCCGATGGGAAAACATTTTGCATCGTGATTATCTATGAAAGGAAATCTGTAAAAAGCTTACAGCATCGACCTTGTCCTTTGCGAAATTACTCGTGTCGTATACCGTCGTGAAATCCCTCAGGTCATGTATGTTTTCGCGGCGCCGAGTGCGAAGTGCAAAACAACGATGAGTCGATATATCGATTCATTTCCGATAATATATTGCCTCCCATGGCAATAACGCGTATGCGCGCGTTTTACGTACGTATCGTTGATCCCCCTATCTCGACGGCATCGAGTTTCGCGCGAATTTAGTGTAAATTGTCACGTCGAGTGTGTAGAACACGCGTGAAAAAGTATACGTTCTCGCGTTCGGCAACGATGACGTATCGATCGCTGCACGCGCCTATCGCCAGAAATAACTACAACGATAATTACTTTTAACAGGCGAATGCAATTTTAATATATTTCACTAGATTTTCGATGACTTTCTAACATGTAAACAATTTTATCTTTCAAAAAAATAGAACGTAAAAAGACGAGAGAGAGAGAGAGAGATTTTGATAATTATTATTATATTATATAATTTTGCTTCTATGGTGAGGCAATTTTTTTCTGAAAAATGCATTGATGCATTTGGTTGCTAAAGGATCGAATAGACGCAGTGTTATAGTGAATCGAGATTGCGAAGATTGTACAAAGCGCACACAAGAGTCCCAACGCTTAACCTTTGATACTAATCATTTATTACTGTACGTCCGCTCGCGAACGTGGCTGAAAATTGTCTCGATGAAATATTTGCATACGTTGATGTGCAAAGGCAGATAAATAAACGTAATTGATGCATTATTTATTTTGCATGTTTTTGCGTAGAGTCTTGGACCGTCGATTAATCTGTCGCCCGGTGTAAAAGCATGCGTATTCGCAAACATGACGCATTCGCCGCTCGTGAATTTGACTTGCCCGCTCTTATCGTTGCTCTTATCATTGCTTATCATCGCGAAACGTTTGGATTATCGACAAAGAGGCAATGTCGGGAGCGCGTATCACCGACGACGACGTATATTGTCTCCCTACAAAGTGCAACGAAGCAGGGTATACGACCTGACTCCGGGCAACGGCGATATAGAGCGAGCTGCGCGTGTATTTCTAGAGCAGCCGGTTTAAGAATAGAACGGCAAGTAGACGACTGGATTAAATATAGATGGTGAACGACCGGCAAGTAGATTACGAAATTTCATTGAAGTCACGAAGATCCGTAGGCGCGATATCTTCGGTATCTTCGATGCATAAGATCGAAATTAAGTGGACGTCTTCGTGATATCGAGTGAATCTCGTCGGTTCTTTATCCAAGAAAGTCGATACGATTTTAATTCCCAGCAGGATATTTTAGATGCTTGACATGGATGGTATAATTGCAGTCTTAATCGCAGTCAGTCTAGCATGATCGATGAACGCGCTATGCATTCGTAATTTGCTAAACTTTGAATAGATTGTCTCGTGATTATTAATCGAAATCTTTGAAATTAGATTCAAAGGAGAGCGTTTTGTCCCCCGATTAGTCGTCTACTTGCAAAATTTAAAAGAAATATCTGCAAACATATCTGGTTCTTCTTTTTCTTCCTGTATCGCTCCTATACAAATATACAAAAACTCGCAAGAGATCGCGGAAATAATCACAGCTGCGAGATTAAAGTCGCAAGATTAGAGGATAAATGCGGACTTGGAAACCATTTTCTTTCAGATGTCATAGCACGACATTACGGAGTATTATAAATATCTAAAAATGAGGAAGAGGTGGAGAGACAAGAGGCGCGTTCGTGCCTGGAATTCGAGACGACTAAAATCGATGCGCAACTTTCCGTCCCGACGCAACGAAATGATAAAAAACGGATTTGATGGGAAACCAATAACCAATAGCTGATTTTTTTGTCGACCTAAAATTCTCCATTCGTTTGGAGGCGAAGAACTGAATTTGAAATCCCGTGCCTCGCTCATCGCCGAGTACGCCGTGCTTCCGCACGAATTGATATACTCTTTCGAGATTTATTCGAAAAAGGCATGAATGAAAAAAAACGCGCGTATGCATATTAAACAGGGAAAAGGTCGGAGATAAAGAAAGTTGACGGCAATCGAACCCGCTGCTTTCAGTTTGTCGGATGTTCTTCGAACGAGCGGAATAGCTGGCATAGCGGTTCGATATCCTCAATGAGCTCCTCAGTGCACCGGAACGAGTATATTGTTCGCAGTAGTGTGCTGTATTGGTCACTGGAATCCTTGTGTTTAGTAATTTAAACAGGGAGAGAGAAAAAGAGAAATATTCGAGTTCCTTGACAGAGATTTTTTTAATTAATTCATTTAGATTATTATCAGACACCACGAGACTATCTTTCTCTCTTTTTCACACGAAAATTCTTATTTATAATTTATCATTTTAATGCGAAATTTTTACACGAATAAAAACGATTTCTCGAATATCTTTCAACAATGAATTATGGAAATAATGAATGAAATATGGAAATGATGAAATGTCGTTTGACAGAAGGATGCCAGCAGCCGGTGCGGCCGTGCCGGCCGTCGCCGAAGGAGCCGGTCAGCTGGAGGATCTGGACGAACCACCGGAGCCACGTGCTCGCGGCGGTGGCGGACGGACCGGCCTGATGAAACCCCTGGTGGTGCTGGCTCTACCCGGGATGTACCTCTTCTACAAGTACAGCCAGTACAGGCGGGAGCAGCGCGAGCTCTCTCGCAGAAGAGTCACCGAGAGGGAGCTGCAACATCTTCATCACAAAATCGTGAGTGAATTTCTCCAGCTGTATATGCGTAATGTAACTTGCCTACCCCGAGCGTTTGCCTGCCAGTCGCCAGGTCAAGGAACTTGCGCACGAGATGGGTCTCTCGCGATCGTAACATCCCACCTGTTGTATTACGTCATTGGTTCGAGTTTCTATCTTTAGCTCCGCGAAGAGCGAATATTGAGATAATAATTTCAATTACAGAGCGAACACATTTGCACAACAATTTATTTATGCCGACTTCGTTACTCGTGCAGCGTATTATTTTTACGTCCGGGGTAACGAAAATAAACAAAAGTTAGAATCGCGAATCGAGAGAAGAAATAATGGTTGAAAATAAATATGACGTATTACCATTATCGGTCCCTCGATAGTAATTTGTTATACATACGTATGTATATATATTTCATAACTATGTGATTTTGTTCTTGTTATATCTTAATGTTCCGAAGATAAACGACAATACTAAAATATTGAAGCGATGAAAGTATTATTTCTGCCGATATTGAGCCTTGACGTGAGTAACGACAGGGAAAAAAATTATTTTATTTCTTTTAATCAAACGGTTCATAACGTCCGTCCTTTTCGGAGGTTTAACAACGACACGACGAAATTGCTTAGACTGTTTCTATACCGAAGACATAGTCGGTGAATAATAAGAGACCGAGGAAAGGGCGAGAGATACATGAAAGAACGCGAGGAACGCGGTGAAAAGGTTCGATTATCCAGAGGGAAGGAAAAACGTGATTATCCCCCGTTGCTCGAAAGCTGTATCATCTTCTAAAGGCTGCAGCAACTTGCTTTTCTACGTCGCTATCCTTATTAAGCGACCGCCTTAGTGGCGTTTTGTCTTCATTATTATCCTAGATTCGCTCGGCTGCCTGCGTCGTCTCGTGAAAGAAAATGAGATTGTATTCGCGTAATAATGCTTCGTATTTCTTTACTCGCCGAATCTCTATAATCTCCCGTATTAAATATTTTTGTAATCAACTCTTTTTTTCGTTAGCTGAATTTTGCTAAGATAAGAAAAATATTCAATTTCCCATTCTGCGGAGTTTACGTTTGCACATGATTGAGAGATCGCGTTATCTCGTTATTCGAGATGCATGGAAAGATGTGGAAAGCCGGCCGGTCGCTGCATTAAACGGCCCAGTGGACCTCGTTGATATCCACTCGGGAGATAGCTGACGTTGCAGAGAATTCACATTTCATGGAAACTCGGGGAACTCTGTAAACTGTGAGAACGCGTATTGATTTCTGTCCGTCCCGGGCTATCGTGATTCGGGTCGACTTGGCGGGTGCTGATCGCTGATGGAAAGGCGACTTACGGCGACTTGCTAGCGATAGCCTATAATCGGAAATGGCATTCGCTAACAAATGACTCGCTCGTGAAAGGTATCGGAAGGCATGATCTTCGTTTGAGATTCCGATTGGATTGAAACTGCGAGGGACCTCGTCTCTCCTTCGCCTTGGTGTGTTATTTCGCTTGAATAAGTTTAAATCTTGCCGAGTATGTACGGACTGTTTGTGTAACTCGTGACACGGTGCTCTCCATCCTCTCAAGGTCGTCGCTTGCAGCGTCCCGGTTCGGGGATAATTTGTTAGGTCAGTGTCGGGCTTGGCAGAGCGATCGCGGCAAGATGGGGCGAAGTAAAAAGTGTCCCCGCTAGGGAATCCTGCCAAGAAGCTGCGTATACTATGGATCGTTACCGGGATACCCCGAATATCTCGTGCAGCCTCTATGTAACCATGGATCGCGTTCGCGGTATCGCGCAGCAAACCGGAATTTCGCGAAGCCGGTTCACGTCTGGTCGGCTGATTTATCGTTACGCGTTGCTCGTTATCGGAAATTGGAATTGCTAGACTGCGGGAAGAAAGCAGAATGTGGAGAAAAAGACTAAATGAAGAGACGAAGAGACTGGAAGAATTTCCCAAGCCAAGTTGTCATTTAGCGCGTTCGCGTGACGTATGTTAAACAATGCCGCGAGGGGGGCCTTGAAGAGGCCCTGCAACGGAACGATCAACCTCAACCTTGACAATATAAACACACGAACGTAGGAAGCACCCCCGGAGTTTGCGCGTTGTTTAAAAATCAAGCGATCCTTACGAACCGATAGAACTTGACAAGGTGGCGGTGGCGGCTTCCAGATAAGGCTCACGCCAACTCGACGTTAAGATCCCGATCGTAACCCCGACGGCCGGACACGTGGACTTTGCCCGCTTATATTCGTTTAACGCCGTCGCGATGAACGAAGAACGATAGGCGAAAGGCAAGAAAGAAAAAGAAAATCGATGTGTACGGCTCGTCACTCGCTCGAGATTATCGGCGTCAGATATCGCGCTCCCTTCTTTACTTTCGATATTGTTTCAACACTGTTTGCGACAGTTTCGCATTTCCGTGCAAACGGAACATTGTTAGCAGGATATCGCATTTAAGGTATTTCCTGATATAATTATGATTTATTACAAAATTTAAGATGTCTCATAATTATATTACGAGATGTCTCCAAATTATATTATGAGATATTTCATTTTTTTCTACAAAATAGAAATATAATATTATTGAATTATATAAATGTTTTTCCATTTAAGATAGTTGAAAAAGACGTTTAAATTACGTAAAATCAATTTGCATCATTATACGTCTCGTTTATTTTATGTCATGCCTGTCACACCATTTCGACGCGATGTTTTTCTTTAGACTAATTTAGAAACGGCCGCGCATAGACACACATATATCCAAGTCACAGCAGTCGTAAAAACAAAGCGAATTTTCTCCCTCGATGCAACGTAATTGGGTTTGCAGAAAATAACAAGCTGGTAGGATTGTACCTTGCGGCAGTCAGACCGTCGACGGACTAAAGTTTTACGCCCCTGTCTACTCCCCCTTTCGAGTCACGTAAGTGCACGTCCACGCGATTCCAGGCGAGTCTCGTTGTTTCAACCAACCTCCGACGAACCCCCGGTTGGCGAACTAAAAAACTTTTTTCGATCCATGGTTACGACCAACTAACGATTCAAGCTGCTGTGTTTTATACTCTTTGATAGATTTAATTTATCTTATCGTTGGCGCATTATTTATCTTATCTCTGAAAATTCATTCGACCGTAAAAATTATTTTATAGAATGACTTTATTTTGCAAACTCGAAAGAAACGTATCACGATCATTCTCTTACAGAAATGATACAATATATGCGTGGTTTTCGCGAGTTATAGCTTGTAATTTGAGAGAGTATGTGCATATCAGTTTTTAAATCAAAAGTTCGTGGCATGAAGTTAAATAATGAACTCATAAGTGTTTGGTCGTCGACCCCTTGGAGCGTTCGGCGTCGGGGGTTGATAATACCAACCAGTATAAACCACCATAATGCACGCTAGAAACGCGACTTGATGCAATCTTCCGCTTTCGGATTGCGTGAGAGTTATTCAATTTTGAAAAGGTTTCTCTTGAATCACTCGTCTCTCTCTTGTTTTACAGTTGAACTTCATACAAAGTTTTTCTCTACCTTGTTAACGTGAGCAAGTAGATTAATGCAATATTAACGAGTTTCACGAAGATCATCTATCGATATTCGAGCGATTCAAGAAACTTTAAATCACGTTTGAGTGAGCAAATTAATTGAGCAACGATGGTACTTTAAAAGTTAAGAACAACAGTAGATATTGGCATGAAATGATTTAATCTGTACACTGCTTTTTTAAGAGCACTTTAGAGATCCGTTGAAAACAACTCGTCGTCGTCAAAAAGGCGAGAAAAAAATTGAATGAAAATCTCAAATCGTCAAAAGAGTGTACATATAGGCAATTTTTCCATATCGGTTGTTCAACTCTCCGATTCTGTAAATGATAATTAAATTACACAGGTATATGTGGTTTCCAAAATGGTAATAGCTAGATGGGATTAAATTTATTTCCTCGTTAATTTGATATTCTCGATAATTCAAAGTCCAATTTATCCTCGGCAATCGGAGATCCTTTTGGAATATTTTGACGAGTCGCAAATAGCGCCTCTCCGCGCATTTATCTGCGGCGTTTCTAGGAAAGGAGATTCAATTTAGTTACTCGAGATTCTCCATTATAGGAGAAGCCCGGAATTAGAACAGGAACGAAATAAATCAAATGGAAGACTTGCCGGTGGGAGAACAAAGCTTCCCCAACTTCGTACAATAGTAGTCGCGGCTGTTCGATTCTCATTGGGTGTAATTTCGAAGTTACGTTTATGTGAGGTTACGTGACACGAAGAGAGACATGAACAAGTGATGACCATCAGCAATCGAAAGAACAGGCGTGTCGGCACGTCTAGCCGTGTCCTTCGCGAGGAAACATTAACGAGGTGCTAATGCTTCGGGTGTCACTCTCGGACGAACGCGAACACGCTAATTGCGTGACGTCATCGGACAGGTACTGAAAAGATTTCTTTCCATACTATTTTACACTGGAAATCACTTTCGCGAAATACTGTAAATCTATAGGGATCCATTCGTTCGTTATCCATCGAAGTTGCCGTCATCTCGTCGACTGATATTAGAAGACAGACTGAGAAAAATAAGAGTTAGCGCGCTCTGGGACATTTCGTATATGGCAAACTCTAACTCGAAAAGATGGATAGTTCGAATGGAAGGAAAATACGAGCGGTGAAGTGTCAAAGTATATACAGAGAGTAGAGACACCCTTTCCTTCATACAAGTTTTTTTCTCTTCTGAGAAAGCCCACGTAAATGCACACGTTGTAAATGCACGTAACTGTCATGGGGGTGCAACACGCGAATGGCCCTAGTCTAACATTTGTAACCTCCTCAACAACGAGAACAAAGGAGGATCGATATCTACGACGCCACGGGCTGACGACGGCGGCGATGACGGCAGCGGTACGTTTCGTGTTTCGTTTCTCATTTCCGCGGAGGACAATGCACCCGACGATGCAAGGATCAAATAGTCGATATCGCGGCAGCGATTTTATAGCAGCGCGCGGAAACTGCCGACGTTAGTTCGTTTCATCGATTCGCAACGATAACGGCCGTAAAGACCTTAGTTCCACCCTAGACTTTGTCTTTTCACGAGGAAAATCTTGTATAAATTTCGAAATTCACAACCGCGAACCTTGTAAAAGTTTACGTGATTTTCGAAAATGTTCGAAAAATTGAAATTGAAAGATTTGTATAAAAAAGAAGTACGATATTAAAAAATATATAATTTTTTTGATTTTGCTGCAAAAAAAATTGTCTTTGAAGGGGATAGAATTTTTAATAAAAATAGCGGATGAAAGACAGTACTGCGGAAACCTGGGACGCGGTGTATATGTTATAACCACGCGAGAATATAGTCGGTAACGATACTCGGGGGAGTTTCTCCTCGAGGGAGAAAGAGAGTAGGAACCGACACCGAATACGGTAGAACGTGCTGAAGCGTAGAGGGCCACCTTAGGCCTTTCGCGTAACATGGTCTTTCAAGACTAGGGTCATCTATAACCCTAGCCATTGGATTCTTATCGACCCGCCCGTTATACTGAATTTTTCAGTATACATGCCGGGTTGATTGACCGTCCACCAGATATTCTACGGTGTCTCAATATGTGTCTCGTTCGTGATTCTGAGATGTACTGTGAATTTTGAATCAAGCCTTCTTGACGCGCCTCTCTCTCGAGAGAGAGGAGATTGTTTAGTTTAACGGAGAATACGCGACGATTCTTCCCTTTACACGAGCCTGATTTTATTTTCGCATATTATTATCCTACGCGAAATGTATTCCAAAATCGAACAGTGCTTAACGTGATCGTGAAAGGTCACAGTGCTATCTTCAAGATGAGTCAGAAAATGTTTCTGCTGTACATAAATCATTCTATCGATCCTGAAATTGCATTCCGACCGCTAAATATGTTATATTGTTCTGTCTACAGTTCTTTTTTTACTGCTGTTGTTGTTTCTTATTCGCAAATACTTTGACATTCTACTTTTCGTTGTTTACATAGTGAACTTTTCAAAAAATTGCTATCTACTTTTTTAAAGGGGAGAATAAACTCGCAACTTTCGAAATTAATAACGCGTGATAATTAAAAGGATCATTTATGTTTGTTCGTCGGTTCGTTCGAAAAGTCTTCTTGCGAGACATTCGAGAACGTGAAAGTTATTCCGAAAAAAAGTTATTTTAGTTTAACGAGTATTGAAAACGGCGAACAAAATTCCTTCAAGGGTGTGTAATTTGGCTGTCTCGCTACTCAAGTTCGGTCGACAAGTTTCACAAAGTGTTGAACGAGTTTCGCGGAACCGAACTTCCCGAAGGGGACGAGCGAAGGGGATTGCGTTCGTCGCTAAAAGATGGAAGGAATTTCTGACTCTCTAAGATAAAGACTAATTTAGTCATAAGCGATATTTGACGAGGAGAAGACCGCCTCGTTTCGCGACCTCATACTTTATGAAATGGCGCAGAATAAAAGCAGTAGAATAAAATGGAGATGATCCGGCTGTCTGATCTTCTTAAATATTCCTAATTTTCAACACGCGTCATAGAAGTCCTCTCGTTTGTACTTCCTCCAAGCTGTTACTTGTAATTTTTAATATAAGTACGCGATTTCAGAGAGATTGATCTATCGAGTCTCCAAAAATGGAAAATAATGAAGTACCTCGGCCTTGAAATTTACATACCTCGAAGGCGGGGTGCATCGGATATAGCACGAAACTTGCGGGTTCTCTGATCATTAGCTTTCTTACTCTGACATTCTATATTTTATGTTTGTTAAATTTTCTTTCTTTATCGCAGAAAACTCACGTCGTTTTTTTAAAAATACGAAAGAACATGAAATATTATTAGGTCAATTGACAAATCTATTTAATCGATTGGGACTATGCACTATATAGGTGCATATAACATTTCACGCGTATATATCTTTTTCTAAAGAAATGTAAAAAAGAGACATAAGATTAATAGCATATCAATTAAATTCTGCATTTTTTTTATAATCTGAGCTTGTTATCAACATATCATTTTTCATGCAAAAGTATTCCTCTAATTCATGCATAGTTACATTATTACAGAATTTTAGTCGCGTATTTTTCCTGTTACATGTTATGTAATTCTATAGGCGTGTCGTACAACTATTATTCGTATATCGTTGACAATTAAGGGTAGAGATAGCGACGGTAAACAATGCGCTTCTATATCCGGCATGAGATCGTAGTACGGTTGACATTAAAAGAGTCTGGCACGAGTTGTTTCCTCTTCGACTTGTCGTAATTTGATTCGAGCTTTTCGCTATCGGTTATTATCGTCGTGTTTCATCACGAACATTGTTTATTTTCTAGAGGAAGATAGGAGAAACTTTTATTGTCATTTTAGCGATTTCTCGAAGAAGGCAACTAAATTAATTGTGCCTCGAATTCATTATTACAGTGTAGAAACGGTAGAAATACAAACATTTTTACCGCAAAACACGTAAAATAAATTGTCGCAAGAGAGATCTTTTTTTTTTAATATTCTCCTTCTGTCAACTTTTATCCAAGACAATTATCTTGGCGGAAGCCATATCTATTTCGCTTCCCAATTAATTTGGTTCATCCAAATTCAGGATTATCCCATGTCGAGTGTCACTTGCCAAATTTGTAGCGCGTCGAATTCCTGGCGAACGGTGCTTGCGCGTTCGTGCTCAAATAAAATTTTCCCCGACACTCAGGATCGACCGCGAGGCCCATGTGAACCTCGGGTTTCCACACGCAGTTCGCCAAAATCCCGGGTCGCCACCTTGGGCATCGACTCGCGGGAAATCCGTAGGGGTTGTCCACCGATTCCGCGTAGTAACGCCAGGCTCGATTATGTCCGCACGCAACTGTCAGAAAAGTGTCAAAATATTTAACAGAGATACATATTATGTTCCCTAAAGAAAAATAAAATAAAGTAAAACAAAAACAAGAAATCTAATGAAAATAAATAGAGGAGTGGAGAGAGAAAGCATGTTGACGTCGAAACTCACTGTATTGATTTATTATTCTCCGGAAGCTCATGCGAAGGAGGCTCCTTAAATCGCAACCGGGCTGTCGTCTACTCCCGCCGTTCGGGTAAAAGTCGACGTGGCCTAGGGGATGAGGGAATCCGAAATTGCCACCGTCCGTATGAATGACGTCGACGAATGCGGCGTCGGCCCATGTCAAGTGACCCTCCTCCCCGGTGTCCATGTACAACGGATAGGCCGGATCCAATCCGGTGATTCTGCCTACCTAAAAGCGCGTTTCTCTCAGTATGTATGTACATACAAGAGCTCGGTTTCCACCTGAATATACATATGTATAGTCTATCGGTCGCGTCGATATCGCGCCTCTCTCGACGCGAGACTCACGGCACTAATGCGGTTCCGATAATGCGGCCTTCGATTAACCGAGGGAATGTTCAATGCACTGTGACTGACGATCGTTATTAGCAGGATCTTACGATGTACACCTTACCTTCCGTGGCGCGAGAGCTTTCCCCATGAAACCGGCAGCCTCCGCGCCCAAACTGAAACCGATCACATGAATTCTGGATAAAGGAACTGCTTTCTGCGCGTCGAGCCACCTCATCACGTGAGCCAAGTAACGCCCGACGATTCTGGCATTTTTCACTGCGGATATGTACCACGGTAATACTGCCAATTTCGGCCAGTGTAGTAATATCACGTTATAATGCCCGCGACGAAGGTACGCTGAAAAACAAAGAGGATGGATAAAAAAATGGTAAATTTTCAGAATAAATTACTTAGCTTTAAAAATGTAGGGAATGATCTCTAAAATCTTTGGATACGGATAGTGTAAACGAAAGTAACGTTTAACCGCGAAATTCGTTTGTTCGACTTGACAATAATGTCAGAATCGCGTGAGTGGGAATTTGAAAGAAAAATCATGAAGCAGGGAGCACGGTTTTTCTTCCAGAGCAAACGAGTAAACAAAGGTGCCTCCTTCGGGGTCGCGAAAAATTGGATTGAATCAACTCGTGAGTTGAAGAGCGGAAAAATTCGCAATTTATCGTGTGCGAGTTACGATAGCGCCTACTCTTACGTCAGCCTGACAGAATTTCTTGAGGTTTTAGAAAAGTATCCATAGATCATACAGAGTTACTAATGGATCCAGCCTACTTGCTCACCGAAATTTACGAGCGGAAAAGTGAACGAGAAATAACATCGCGAATAACATCGCGGTAACTTTTAATCAGCTATTTTGATATTTAGAGCGGATATATACCTGCAATATCACGCACAGTACTAGAAACATAAAAGAATATGTGTGGCGTATTTATTATCGTCGAAGTTGAGCGAAGGTATAGAATGATAGAAAAACACTTGCCGAAGATCGTTGAACTTTTGACAAGAAGAATACATTAAACTTTTTCTATGCATTTCAAAGTTGACGAGTATTCTTGACAGAATGCTTTCCTGTTTATGCATTTATGTGGACGCCTTTCTTGCAATCGATCGTACTGCAGCTTGGACAAGGTATACTTGTCGATTTTAACTAGTTATTTATAAAGACATACCATTTCGTATAGCGATGGGCCCCTTCCCTGAACCGCTGTCGCTGTATCCGTGAACGTAAACGATAGTCGGGTGTTTAACGTCGAAATTACTCTTCCACAATGTCGCGACATCATTGGGATCCAGTATGGATGGATGCGTTGGATTTCGTCTGCCGTTAATGCGAAACGCAAGAAAAATGTCGCTATGAGCAAAATTTGTGAAATTTAATACGGTCGATGGTGGACTCTGTTGACTTATGGGATAGAAAGCCTGAGAGATTAATTTTCAGACTTCCATCAATCAGAGAGATTTCAAATTTTAATCAATAGAACTTTAACTAATTAGTTACGTGAATAGCCTTGATGAGCTAGTGAATTAAGGAAAGGTTTGATTAATTAAATATCATAATTTCGAGAATATTAAATCGAGAGAATTAATTTATACCGAAAATAATTTAAGTACGACGTGTGATGGTGATTTCTACTCACGAACAATTTGTGTACCTGGTAAACAGCTGAAATTGGACGTCCCGATTTAAATCGATGGGGCAGCAGTAGAAACACGTGCCGGTGGGAAGTAAAGTCAGATGCAGCAGAAAGTCGTCTGTTAACCAAAAGAAATAATATGATTATAATTTTATCAAGAACAAAATCGATCAAATTTTAATCTCTCGCGTTTGTATATATACGATGTAATATAATAAAGATTAAAATTGAGAGAAAAATTGCGAATAATTATTAAAATTACTATTTTTTTCCTTCGACCTGGCAAAGTCGAGAATCTTTTTAAAGATCATCAGGATTAGCTCGTAAACCTAGTATTTCAAATATTGGCTAAAGAAAAGAGGGAGAGAAGGAGGAAAGGGTTCACTCTTTGCGTTTCCTTCGCTGCATTAAACCCGGTGCATAATATCAACGACGACGTCGGCCAGCCTCGACCAATCGCCGCGGTCGTCGTCATTGAACCTGACGATGGTCACGTCATGTCGCGTGTTGTACCGCCGACGGAGATTGACGGCGCGTGATACCCTAGCGAAGCTGAAGAATCCCCCTTTAGTTGCCTTCGTCGCGCGGAATTTTTCGAAGCGGCAGCGGCGCGGAAACGCTCTACTCGATTCTTTCGCAAACACGCAAGCGCTCTTATAAAGAATTATTTTTCAACAAATTATGTTAATTTCCGGTTCCATTGTACGAGCCATTATTCAAGCTATTCTTCTTCTTTGCAACGATCTCATTGGAAAAAAAGGTGATTAGTGTTTTCGACAGTCTGGAACGTTGATTCTGACAAATCGGACAATTTTGATGGATTAATCGTAGATGGTTTTTGTAATTTCGATAATTTGCAGAACGAACGTGATGGACATTTTTCATACCGCGCTTATCCGCGATCGAGGAAAATATCTGCAGAAATAATCCGTCGTTTTATTTACTTCGACAACGCGCGCGATGCCGTGTTCGATTGCAATTAAACTTTGCGAGAGGAAAACGTACATACGTGGTTAAGTGGTTGTCGAGCTGGTTCGGGCACCCTTTAAACCTTAAATATATATTCGGCGACGTAAACAACGAAACTCGTCGATGATGAACGGCTTTTGTACGGAGACAAATATATCGTGTATGAATTTTCATTATTTTGCCCGTCGAAAACGTTTTCGAGTTATTCGCGTCGTCTCGAAAACACGAAGCGTTTGAGAGAAGCTTTAAATGCGACGTCGAGCAAAATGTTGAGCGTCATAGCGAAAAATTGTGACTATGCGAATAAGAGAACTTGCTCGAATTTGCAGGCATAGTCGAATTAACGACAGAATAAATTCTGACGATTGTTCGCGCGAATGTTGTCCAAATAAAATCGGCTTACAACTCTGGAACTCTTGCTTCACGATTGCGCAATAGGATAATTATACACTTTGTCAAGTAGCATCTCGCGAAAAATAGGTCGCAGTTTATTACACTTTCACTTCGCGATAATCGCGAGACTTTTTTCGCTCGAAGCATTTTCTCATGTCAACAATAGTTCCGCGATCTATCGAATATGACAGCGCGGATTAACGATATCGAATCTGCCATTTTGCGATCTAACAAATGTTATCTTCTAATCTAATGTGACCGTTAGGTGAGAGGAATTGAACCAACGGGATGTAAAGAAGAAGAGGAGATTAGACTTTCGCAATGTCGGTCAATGCGCATGTTGTACATAACCGTTATAGCAAAATATCCGTTTCATTTTTTCATTAACATAATCGGCATTACTAAGCAGCAATGCACTACGTGTCATGATTTGTCTGATGACGCGGAATCGACCGCAAAATATTTTGCAGCTGCGAGCGAAGGCATGGCTCTTTTTGCGACATCAAAAGCAAAGAGTAAAAATATACGGCTATCTTATAACGTGGCGATCTTTGAAGAGAAAGGAGCGGAAAAGATTTCGCTTATTACAATCATAATTCGTTCCGCATCTGAGGTTCTATAAATTTGAAACTTTTTCACGATCGGCGAGTCCAGTTTCGCCGATGTTGCGTTGGATCGCTACTATATTTATTTAATCCAGGTTGCCGGATCTGTCCCTAATAGACGCGTTTGGCTTTAAGGTGAAAGCAACGTAACAGTCCCTCATTCCTGTACTGGTTACACCGGACAGATGAGTAATCGCGTTATGTAAAAAGGGCCCGCACTTGAACTAACTAAGCCATAGAAGGCTTGCCAGGAAATCATGCCACATAACCATGTTGCCATATTAGGAATTTACCGTACCATAACTGCTAATACGCGTTCTTTGCTCAGAATGCGTTATGCGTTCTAATTACCTCATTCTGTACATATAGGTACATATACCACCGGAAAGAAGTTTATGTACATATCGATGGATGTCAAGTATCAAGAAAACGATTTATTTTCTCATCGTTAAATCAAAAACTACATCGACAGAGGCGATAAAAAGATAACCGGATTCCGGTAGCAATTAACGATAATAAATGGCTCGTTAAACAAGAATGATTTACAATTTAAATGACGAAAATTTACATTCTAGCTGATGTGACACGGTGTGCGTTAGAACGAGTTAGAACAAAGTTCTAAGAAGAGACTTTAACACAGTCTATTATTTGCTTCCGAAATTAATCATCGCGGGAACAAAGTGTTCTCATTAAGTTCTGCGTAAAAGCACTTTTGCACATTTCTGGTTTAACGAATCATTCATCACACACAGTCTCACTAGCTGCCACCAGTTATTTTTTTAGCAGTCTTATTTAACGTTGACATCGTGAATCACGGTCGTCACTTACATGACGCCGTCTGACTGTTAGCGGAAACGAAATTACACTTAACACGATCACGTGCACTCGACTTCATCGAGATCTCGCGCGAGTGACTGCACGATCCAGTTTTGGTCCGTTGGCGATTAAAAGTTTCTCTATGAAATTAAACTACGAGATATAAGAACACTGATATAAAATTAATAAAAAAACACTATTTTTTCTATTAAAGTTACTTCGATACATGATCGATAATTATATATGAGTATGTATAATTATTATACACGCGTATAGAATTATAGGAACTGGATTATGCTGAACATGAACCTGAAATCCATTGAAACCACACTAGACCGTTAATTATCGCTTGCACATATATCGAATCGACATATCAATACCGCACGTTTGGCGCTTTACGAACCACTTTGCGAAAACAACTTTGCTACTCGCGATAATTAGGATGAATTTATACGAGCGAATGTGCATTGTGTTGATTTCGCGCGCAGTTTACCTCTTCGGAAAATGTACAAACTACAGAGAAAGGGCACGAGGAAGGACGGGACCATTCTCTCTCTTTCTCTCTCTATCTATCTCTCCTGCACTCCGGTCCGGAGCCGAATCGTCTTACACCAGATTCGAGAGGAAACTGGCGGGAAACAACGCCAGCTGATCGTTTTGTAGAACTCGCATACCTACTCTCGCATCATCTCGCGCGCGAGCATAACGCGGGCGTCACGATCTACTTTCCACCCTTTTCTTTTTGTAATACCGGCTCGGGCGATACAACAGAATCACGCTAGGCAAGAATGGATACAATGTCTAAATTATTTTAATCGTCCCGCTTCCACAGTTTGTGGAACCACTTCACACATCGTTGAATGTAGAACGCGAGAGGACGTAATTTTTTTTTCATGTCACTGGATACTATTTTCTTTCCGAGACACAAGTGATCTCTTATCGAGTTTATCTTTCCGTGGCAAGTGATCTCAAGTTTATCTTAATAACTTTGCTCCGTAAAGGAGAAATTAAACTTAATATATAATCTATATACGATAATTACACTTGATAGACTTGTGATTTTTGTGATTCTTTATTTTCAGGACAAGCTGCTGACGAAACTGGAGGAAAATGAGCCGGAGCTGGCATCTTCGCAGGAAGATGAGGTAAGAATCAAAAGTGACAGGCAAAACGTGACATTTTCTTTAGAGCGACGTTTGCAAATGTCAATTGGCCAATCGATCAAATGATGAAATAAAATCGAGCGCCATTCTTTTCCAATGATTACTCAAGATAGTCACGGATCTAATCGTCAAAAGAAACTAACTATTTCCATTGTTTCATACAGTTGCTACTTCTTTGTTAGAGTCCTACGCTTTCTTAAGGCTCTCTAAAGTTGACTTTGCTGGTTAATAATTACTGAGACTAGCAATTAGGAATAAGTTTGTTGACAAGTAAGCTCGATTACAATAATTTTTTTAAATAGCTATAGAAGAAAAAAGAAATTGGACAAAATAAGTAAAAAAAATTTACTTCTCTGCTGGTTACGTCAAATTGCGAGCAGGAGAATCTCTTCGTTCTCGCGCAAACACAAATTAGAGAATTAGTCAATAAAAGAGGCTTAATGAAAATTATCTTTAATAGAATAATAGCGTATGTAGCTTGAACTGCGTGCGCTGATTTGATTCTATTTATCAAAACCCACGTAATTACTTTCCTGAAACGTGCCATATAAATAGTCAATATAAAAAATATATACAACGTTAAAAATAAATAATGTGCAATATTTCTTTATTATATTTTTTGCTCAAAGTATCAAAAATTATCAGCATCGGCGCGAAAACGTAATACGTAAACTTTATATTAGGGACGCCGCGTGTATCTTTCAGCTTCATTGCGCAGCATCATATTGAAACGAGTTAAGCTGCACGATAAAGAAAACAGAGACGATAACAGAGCGGCTGTATCGCGCAAAATATGACGGGCCGTTTGGAAGAGTCGCAATTTCCGAACGAATTGGCCGCCCAATCGGTCGCAAAAGTCGATTAACGACAACGACGACAAAGTGGCGGTCGCAACCCTTCGACTCCTGACGTGTTCGCCCACCCTCCCCGGACTCGAGCTATTAATATTTCGATTAAAGTGACGTCTAATGACGTTACGTCGATTACGGCAACCAATATCGCGGCCGTCCTGATCGCTAAACAACGATCCGTTGTATCCTGGGATTTAATAATATTACACGTGCAAGCGCATAAGAACTATGCAAAATAAAGCAAGAATCGTGTTTCGCGGTGAGCGACGAATAAAAGTGGTTACACGCAATTTCTCTTTTCTCTATTTCCTGTCCATTTTTTTTTGTTCTCTCTCCTTCCAGTCGATATAACCAAGTATTTGATGCGGTTATCAATCAAACCTCGTCTATAAATCTCGTTTATAACATTCTTTCATGTCCGACGAATGTATATCGTTATTCTTCCCTTCCTTTTTCAGTGCGTCATATGCGTGAACGCGAGAGCGACGATGCAAACTGCACCGTGTGGACATCGAGTGGTGTGCAGGTGAGCTAAAAAGCCTGCAGTTTTTCGTGCCTCCGTATTTTGTATCTTTCTTTTCTTCTTACTCGACTTACGTCGAGAAAAACTCGGCGGTTAATTATTTTTCATGGCCACGTTGCAGCGAGATACTTGAAAAGAAACTGCTTTCTTTAAGACTTATTTCTAATTACGTCTCTCCTTTTTTCTCTTGGCGTTCTCGTTTCACGTTAATTTTGCATTCCGTCTGCAGACGCTGCTTCGTCAAGACGATACAAATGGCGGTGTCTCAGAGGCTTCTGCCGCTAAGATGCGTTATATGCAGAGCGAAGATTCTACGACTGAAGCAGACTCTCATTCCGCGTGACGTAAGTGAAGAAGATATTGCGCGTTTGATCTTACAATTAAACTCGACGTCTTTTTCTCGCTTTCGTGGGCGCGAATATGTCAATTATATTCTCTCCCACTCGTTTAATATTTTCCGCTTTAGAAAGCTTCCTGTGCTAAATTCGTTTACCGTGTTCCCTTTTACGTCCACTATATTTCGTACAAACGCGTCGATAAATTTCACTGTTCGCTGACATGATCGCGACGAAATTGCTGCTAATTGGAGCGGATTCTCAAAGCCGACGGTGCCTTTGCAACCAATTCGGTTATCGTGTAACGCGGCGTATCCTACGATATTTAAAGACCATATTTTCGTCGAAATTGAAATTCTTCAAAATATTTTTTCTTTAAACTCGTGAAATGCATCCGGTTTAAATGTTACAAAATTAATTACGATCAAAGTATACAATTAATTATATTTACCTACTATACTTGCTACATACACAAATAAATTGCATCTATATTTAACCAGTTTTTATTTTTTGACGCAATAATCGTGATTTCAATAATCATCGTAATCACTGTAGATATGAATTTTACTCAGAGAAACGCGAATCGGATTATCCATTGTGAGGTTTATTTTAACTTATAGTATTCGATGTCGGGTAAATCCTGGGTACTGCCTCAAAGCGCATCAGAGTACAACATGGGCACAGGTGTATCCGCCGGTGTATCCGGTCCCGGTGGCAGATGGGGAACCGGAAGCGTACCAGCCTCTGCCTCTTTATACTCGATGGCCAGTGGTTCGTCCTCCATTTCTGGTTGGTAGTTCGAGGCTAAGGAAAACTGTCTACATTGTCGTTGAGGTATTGCAAAAATAAATATTTGAATTCTCACTCGTATAGGAGTGTCTTCCGTCTCTTCGGCAACTTCCTCGTCCGCGCATAGCACCGGAAGTTCCATTCTCGGCAAACCTACGAGGGTACGGCAACCCACAGGCGCCACTTTCAGACGTTCCCAGACGCAATCGATGAAAATGCGAATTCAGGTTAGCAGGGTGTCGTAATATTCGATGTAAAGCACATTTTTCTCATCGTCCCTTAGATTAACATTATATATATATATATATATATATATATATATATATATATATATATATATAAATGACGCACTCTTTTCAATGGTTCCCCAAAGTGTCGCAGAAGAATATTTCGCATACGATTATTTATCGAAATTAATAGGAGTACCAGGATCCGATTCAACAGATCAGCGAGGAGGAGGAAATCCGGGAGCGCCGATTGCCGCCAATCAAGGAGTTCCAGAGGGACTATCGCGCTGGCAAAGCCTCCACTAGAATCAGGTAATTTCGCGATCGATCGAGAGACTCGTCGGAAAAAACGTGCTTGCAATACGCTTGATCTGCGTTTGCAGATGTGCTCAAAAGATCGTGACGCAGCTGGAAACGTCACCGAGTCCGAGGGGTACGTCCGGCACGACGTCGACGTCATCGGCATCATCGTGCGGCCGCGCTGCATCGAAGCGACCGGCGTCGACGCCGAAGATGTCGGTGGTCCAGGAGGTGCAGAAGTCGAAGAAGGAGAAGGAACGGGAGAAGGAGCGGGAGAAGGCGGAAAAGGCCCGGCAAAAGGAGGAAGAAAAGGCGGAAAAGACGAGGCAGAAGGAGGCGAAGAAGCTGGCGAAGGAAGAGAAAAAGAGGGCGAAGAAGGAAGCGAAGGCACGGCGAAAGGAAGCCGAAGAGGCCCTCCTGAGGGACGAAAAGTAGAGTTCCAATTAATCGCAAGCAGAAAAATCTCGAGATGAGTATCGCGAGGTCGATCGTTGCGGCGTACGGGCGTACCTGAAGAGTCCTCCGCGAATAACGGTGATTTCCGGTATATGCTGTAGCCGCGAAAGATCGATAGCGATGTACGGGATGGGTCACGGATGTTCGCGTTGTAATTGCAAATGTTAAGTGGCGCTCTTTGCAAAGGACGTCGTCTCTTGAAAATTGCAGCAGCCAGTTATCAACTAATGAATATGGCCTAGCATGAAAGCGGTTCTTCCGAGAAGCGAGCACTCGGCACGATTATAGAGATTGTGTCGGTGCGTTAATCAATTCGAGAGATAGGTCATCAGGTTTATTTATTCGGCTTGTTCGTTGCTTGAATCTCGATAACTGCCGGCGAAGAAATGTCTCGAATAATCTGTAACTCGTCCCGAAATACTCGGCATCTCGTAGGTTAGCAAAAAGACGGTGAAAAGAAGTATACCTAAAAAAAAATCTAGAAGCGGCCAAACTTAGTAACCTGTCATATCGAGTTATCGCGGACTAATACTATTATCGATAGGAAAACTCGAGCATAGCGCTACAATTTAGAATCCAAGCGAATTATTTTCAATCTTATTACTCTCCTGTCGATTTTTTCGAATTATTCCGAAATCGTATCTCATTCTTTTGAAACTTACTCGAATCGCATTCTGCCAAAATCTGCCATGAGATTTTCATTCAGTTCTCAACCAGTTGACGAAACCTTAGAGTTAATAAAGACGTCGCGCTGATGTCATCTCTGACCGATTATACAAATCATCGTATAAAGTATGTACATTCAATTCACAGTTGATTCGCTTGCACGACGAACATCTTCGTCGCGACGTTTAATCGCCTACCGCCAATTCGAGATAATCGATAATCCCGTTCCTCCAGTCAATTTAGACCAGTCGCGTTCTCGACTACGAAATTAGAAAAAAAAACGATACTCTCGATTTTTTTTTATTTGCACCGTGCTCCCAACATCTTATTTCAAAACATTCTAGAAAATCGCGCGAAGGGCAAAGGGTGCTTGCAAAATATAAATCAAATTTTTGTCTATTTTAATAGTAACTCAATAAGAAAAATATTTATACGTATGAACTGATATACTTTTTTAAATAATACTCCAATACGTAGAAAACGTAATCTTGATTTCAAAATTTTCAGAGAAGGTGCAACGTGAAAATGTATAGTTTTTTTCCGAAATTTCTTGCCACTGGATCGAGAGAAAAAGGAATCGCAAGCATTTTTTTCGCTTTTCACATCGCACTCCACGATCAAATACTCTCCCCCATCATCGTATATTGTAAATACACCTACAGAATTTCACAAGCAGAGAAACGTGAAGAACTTTCGTGCCGCGAGCAAAGTCGTACAAGTCGCGTACGAGAGGGTAGCCTAATAAGATCGATTTGTTAAAATGTGCGAGAGGATATATATATATATATATATATATACCTAATAACGAGATAGTCTTATATAGTACAATATACACACATTTATAAATATATATAAAATATATATATAATTATATAAAAATAGACAGAGAGCAGAAAAATTTTTGAAAACGCAGCGCGTGTCTCGTTACTGTTCGTGAATTCGTAGACTCATAGGAATTCTTGTTATCGATTACCCTCGGTTCGACCCTCTTTCCTCGCTCGACAATTCACGAGCGATAATTACCTAACGAATTAAGCAATTAATTATTGAAATTGCTATGCTCTACGACGTTCAATAGATTCCTCGTACAAAATTTTAAGAAAGCAAAGTTACATGACAGTTACGCGCTGATAGCTTTAACGACAAAAACCCCTGTGTGTCAATGACACATATACAGATAAATACACACACATACACGGCAAGCACACACACAAACACACGTACACATACAATACGCAAAAGTTTTCGACCTTAAATTTCGCCCCTAATCTTGATTATCTATATTGCCTCGCGAGTCTCCCGTAAGCAGCCAAAAATCAAAAGCAATTTTTTTACAAAGTCTACATGTCAAGATTTACCTTGCAAGTCTCGATATCAAAAAGATCAGTGAATAGGAAAGTATTTTGAAAATCTACCAGCTAGATGGGCGACAATTTCGCCGACAGGAAATTCAATGTTATTTTCAGCGATGCGTTTAATAGCGCGATGACGGTTTGATAATAATGACAATACTTCTTTTGTAACCGAAAGAAAGCGCAAGCGGGCGTGAAATCTTTCGGCAGCCACAAACTGTTAGGAGCTGTCATGTTATGATAGCGGGACAGTTGAGAAAGTCTCAAATGCCATTTCTTGTCTTTTTGTTCATTCGCTCTGTGGGATCGAGCTCGATGCATAGTTTTAATAGGTGAATGAAAGAGAATCAAATATTGGACGGTGTTTTAAGAAGCTACGATGCAAAAATAGAATCTCTTAGAAATCGCGAGCCATACTTATCTATACAAATTTCAGTTCCTAAAATTGTGATATTAAGTGTAATTAAAATTATGTAACAGTGAGAAGAACAAAGTAAAGTTTATTTTAGAACTCTTTCTATAATCTTCTGTCGTTCATCCACAAGATAAAGTTAAAAATTTAAAGGATCCAATTCTTAGAAACTCATGGTATGGTTCGACGATTTAGAAATCAAGTAGAGCCATTGAAAGTAGGAGAATCAACGTTGCCGAGAGAACAAAAATGAATGCGGAAGCATTCAAAAAGAATTGGACTCCATGTGTATACTAAACACATATCAGTAGTAATTAGTGGATTTTAATTGGCGTTTTCGTTTGAACCTCATTGCCCCGTTTTAAGATGACCCAATTTTAGACTCTCTACAATGAGTACCGGAATAATAAAATGATTAAACGATACAATCACGAATGACAATGAGGTTAATTCGACAATGCTACTAATTAGCGTGTAACATTAACCGTCAATTATTATATCCGTTGCATCGATCCCAACTGTGACGAGCCCGACACGTATTCAATAATCAAAAAAGCGCATGATTGATGTGGATCCTCGATTGATTTATAAGCTTGAGGGCAAATATGAAAGAAAATATATTTGAAGATAAAAAAATTGTAAAAAAAGAGATGGTGTTCAAATTTGACATAAAATTTCAAGATTGTGGATAAATTTTTGGGGAATTTAAAACACAAAAATAAGATTTGTAGAAATTGGAATATAATCGAGGATCGCCATCGTCATGTTGAGCATTTAGGATCTAGGAAATTTTTCTTGCGGACTCAAATATATATATATATATATATATATATATATATATATATGCACGAGTGCGAGACTTTCTCGAATCCCGATGGAAACGCAAGGAGCGCGAAGCGCAATTAAGCGCGTCTAAAGCGAGCGAGAGTGTGGCGAAAAAGCGTGAGGCCATCCTCTGCCATCAGTCAAGTCAATTTTATCGAGCACATCGTGCATACGACGTTAAGCTCGCGATACTGGCAATGATGGCCTTCGTGGCGGCTAAATCGATTCGATTTCTCAAAGTCACGCCAACGGGAAATGCCTACGTCCGCGACGAGATCGAATCCGGACAAAAGCGCGGGAAGCGAGGGTTTCGTCGAACGGACCTCGCGTAAGGTGTGAATCTCTTCACCTCATATGATTTGTTAATCCTTGCAAAGAATATTCAACTATCATAGTTGAATCGTAACTATCGTGTGAGAGACTTAATTTGCAAGAAATAAATTACGTAATACTGATTAAATAATTATTAAAAGCAATGCTGAGTAAGCAATTTTTTCATTTGTTTACAAAAAAGTAATTGCGTGTGAAATAAAAAAAAAGGAATTAAAATTAAAGTAAATTGAGTACTTAGTTGATACGCGATAAGACATTTTCACTCTGAGATCGTGCTTTTTTGCGACAGTTAAGGATCTCATTACGGTAGTTGAGGATTAACAATGAAGAGACAAAAAAGTAAAATGCGAGACAGAAAGGATAGCGTAATCGTTGGCAATAATATTCGAGCTAAAGAGAGGACAAAAGTGTGCGGACAAAGAGGGACGATCGCGTCTCGTCTGTGCGATAATACACGAAACGCGTATATCACGGTTAGACGTAACGAGAACGACTTTATCGTACTTTATTATATAAGGCAGAATTTGTAGACACGTTTATATTAGGCCGATATATCGACACGGCGACATCCCTCGTCCTGCACAAAGGATGGGAGGATTTAATTGTCGCGTTCGAGTTTTTAGCGCAATGCTCGCGTAACGACTTGGAGAATGAAATTCCGCGCATTTCTATCTTTTACAGAAAAATATCGAGGACTTTTATGTTAGCCGAAAGAAGACTGTAGATGAAGCTAAATATGTTGCCTTCTGTTCGAAAGGCTATATAGCTGTGTACAGTTTCATTTCTCTTCCTAAATCTCTTCGTAGCAATTTTTCTTTTTTCTCGAAATCACGAAACCAAGACGTCGTACGATTTGAAAGACTGTCACGAGCAAAATCAAGGGGCTGTAGTAATTGTATAAAATCAAAATTGTCCAAATCGGCCAAATCGTGCCATTGGATGCAGAAGTAACGTAGAGATAAATTTATGGCAATCTGACGCTCCTCGGTTGCTCGGTTGACACTTCATAAGCGCGTCGAAATACGCGAAAAACTGATACTAATGTTAGTAACGGAATGTTTATATATTGTAGCGAATATAAGCGCTAACAGCTAATGGACGAGTAGCATTTTCGGTTCATCTACTGCGAGCTTCTTAGAAATTTTCTGAGGACGACGTGTCCTCTTTCCTCTTCTCGAGTGTATACAATAATATCTTCGACTGCATCTCGGATCTCATCGACTCGCGCTTGATAAATAAGACGAGAGATATTTAAAAAAAAGGCTTGAGCGGTTGATTTTATCGAGTCTATTTTTAGTAGTTTTGTTCAAAGACTAAACAGACAAAGGGAAAAAAACGAAACTTATAAGAGATTATATTACGCGATATGTTGCGATCTGTAAGAAGAAGATAATAGATATAAACAACAAATCAAATAAAACGTTACGATCAATGTTAGCTGAATTAGAATTATTTTTCTCATTTTCACTCCTTGACCCTCTTTCTAAGTGCAACGTGATTGATACAAGTAGTACACACGTCTTCGTCGGATGAATGTCCTCTCCCGTGAATTACCATATGTCAATTCAAATCGCGTGAGATGATGTTCCTCTTTCTCGAACTTGGCTTCTTCGTGTGGCGCACAACTAATCAATTCGTGTACAAGAAGTCTCCTTTTACCATTTGAGATGACTTTTGTCATCATGATTCGTATTATATCTCGACAGAGGACAGAATACATCCTTTTATCTGACACACATTTTATCTTAAAGTGTGTGTAAACTTAACTACATTGTTTTCAGTGAGCGTGCAAAAATTTGTTAATAATAGAAAACAATGAAACATTTTATTATACATTGTGTCGTGTATATATGCTTTGTGAAAATCTTGAATGTGGCTGCAATAGAAGGTACGTTTCATTATATACCACATGTAAAAACTTCTACGTCAAGTGTTATCATGTAATTATAATCAACACGAGATTACAAGATCCATATATAGTTCATAACTTTGTGATACATATTCGCAATATCTATTTTTAACTAAAATATAATTGACCTTGATTCCAAACCACACGATATGGGAAACTTTTAAAATGATATAAAATCAATAGTAACAATAAAAAAATATTTTTCTTTCTTATTTACGATTAGACTTTTAATAAGCTAATATTTTGTCTTTACACTTGGAAAAATACAAGACTTATTTCCAGATGATTTAATATTTCTTTTTAATTGTTACTATATATTTGCACAAGTGATAACTCTCAAATAAGGAAAACGAAACTGAACGTATCGACATTTCTGATGCAGACAGTCGACATTGGCATCAACTGGCCAATAAAGAACTAGAAGAATCTCTTTCGCTTCATTGGAACACGAAAAAAGCTAAAAATGTGATTCTTTTCATCGGGGATGGGATGAGTCCTGACACCATAACAGCCAGCAGAATTTATCGTAGCGGCGAGACCAGTCGACTCGCATGGGAACATTTTCCCCATATCGGGATACTGAAGGTCGTCTCAATGAGATTTTCATTAAACGTGATTCGTATTTCAATTAATCTCATGTTTTGTACGTAAGATCTCTTCCACGTGTTCCAATATATCTTTTGCTGGTAATGCAGACTTACAACGTGGACAGACAAGTCCCGGACTCGGCCTCTACCGCCACTGCTCTTTTCGGAGGTGTCAAGACGAATTACGAGGTCGTTGGAGTGGACGCCAACGTGAAATTGGGAGATTGTCCGGCGAGTTTGAACGCAAATAATCACGTGCATTCGTTCATAACGTGGGCTCAGGCTGCCGGTAAAGCGACAGGTCAGACACGATTGCAATTTTAATTCTAGAAAGTCTGACTGTCGCGTAATTCTGTCTACGTAATGTATTCAATTTTATAATAACTTAGAATAACATGTTTTTCCTGTTTTCCAATTTTTTTAAATTATTATAGATAGTTGGCAGTTTTTTTTTTAATTTTCAAGTAAAAATAGAAGTAAAACTTTTATCGTCTTAGATAACTAGGAAAGATCGGATTCTTCTTCGTATATTTTGAAATAAAATTAAACGATTTATTATATAATTCGTGAAAAATAATATAACTGATTGCAGGTTTTGTGACAACTACAAGAGTGACTCACGCGACTCCGGCTCCGCTTTATGCTCACTGCGCGAATCGTAGATGGGAGTGCGAATCTAAAATGCCTGAAAGCGCTGTCGGCTGTAAAGATATCGCCAGACAATTAATAGAGGATGAGCCGGGGAAAAGCATTAACGTAAACAGAGAATGACTCATGTACTACGTTTCGGTATGATTACATGAGACCGATTTGATATTTAACTTTCCTCATAGGTGATAATGGGTGGTGGTCGACAGGTGTTGAAGTCCAACGTGAGCGCGGGTGAATTCGATCCGATAGACTCCTGGGCTTGCTATAGACAGGATGGTCGTGATCTTATCGCTGACTGGACGCGAGACAAGTCTAGTAGAAATTTGACTTACAGCGTTATTCAAAACAATGAGGAATTGTCTCGACTCGACGTCGATAACGTGGACTATCTACTCGGTATTTTCGCAAACAGTCATATGGAGATGGACTGGAAACGTGAGCGAGGTCCGAAAGGACAACCGAGCCTGGAAGAGATGACCGTGACGGCATTGCGAATTTTGCAAAAGTCCAAGAAAGGCTATTTTTTAATGGTATCGTACGCCAGTCGTCATCTCTTTGTGAGGTGAAATCGATACGATTCTCTGCAATTCTTCCAGATCGAGGGAGGCATGATCGACTTTGCTCATCATCGCGGTCACGCTGCTCAAGCCTTGTTGGAAACAGTTCGATTATCCGATGCTGTTAACGCCACTCTAAGAATGATCGACACCAATAACACCCTCGTGATAGTCACTAGCGACCATACGCATTCGATGAACTTCAATGGATTCAGTCTTCGCGGTTCATCCGTTCTGGGTAAGATCGATGCAGATTTCGGATTCTCTCGTTCGTTCTCACGCGAGACATTATTTCAGGAATCGCTCAGGAATCTAAATACGACGGGGTACCATACACAAAATTGTCCTACAGCACAGGCGGACCAAATAACATTGCTTACACGGTAAACAAGGACCGAGTCGTGAGAATAGATCCTTCCAAATCCAACACCAGCGATTTTACTTACAGCCAACAAGCCACAATTATATCGGACGAGGCTTATCATGGCGGTGGAGACGTGGCTGTGTACGCTATAGGTATGCATATTTATAAACACATCTAATTTAATATTACGAAGAGTGCAGTTAAATGGCTTCTCGGTCTCAGAAACTTTGCGTTGAGTTGCGAACGTTTGATTTACGACACTTAGAATTTTAAGAAATTTGATAACTCTTTTTTCTACAGGTCCACATGCATATCTCTTTCATAGTGTGCACGAGCAGAATTATGTGGCGCACGTTATCGCGTATGCCACGAATGTCGGCGAGTATTTTAACGGCGCCGCGATATCACAAATTTGTCTTCTAAATGTAGTCATTTTATGCGGTAGTTTAATCTTGTCGCTCTTAATCGCAAACAACTAAATCTGTAAGTGCTAATAAAAACACATTATCAGTTTTATTTTTCAGTAGGAAATTATATATTTATAATATATATCCTCACACCCTGGTATGTGTGGTATTCTCAGAAAAATCGAATTTATATAACAATAATTCTTATCGCATGTAATTAAGTGGTATTGCAAGTGCCCGCGAGATTATCACTTGTATCCTCCACTCCATCACAGATCAGACTAACTTTCATGTACTCACCCTCGCATACACACACAAACACACACACACACACAATGGACGTACCGAGTTCCTATATAAACGTATTCTGTTATACTTCTTATTCTTGAGCAAATTGCAAATCTGCCTTTTTCCGTATATATTCTCACTCGCTCGTTTTATTATTTACAATAATGTACGTTAAAAACAATTCTCAGTCTTATGCTACAGAGGATATCATCAAGATACTACTTGCGATGCTCACTTTGTAAAAAAATCTAAGAATACAAGTTGTTCTCCGAGATTACGCTTGAGAAAGATTAATATTATGCTTCTATTTAATAACACGTTCTTGCAATCAAGTAGTATAATTGTACTTAAGCCTGTCAATGATGTCGTCTACGTCAAACCTATTTGACGGTTACTTGATAACATTATATATACATATAAAAAAAAGAGAGTACATATGTAGAAATCGAGATGACTAATTGCGTAAAAAAAGGAACCTTAAAGAGTTACGTCAAAAAAATAAATGGAAGACTTTATCGCAAAAGATTTCGTCAACGCGCTCACATATGCTGGGATTGCATAATAACGGAAGTATACGTAATATAATGCGAACGTTTGTCGAATATGCAGACAAAACTCGGGATTCTCTCAATTCTTCGTCTATCTCTAGATGATAAAGAGACGTGGGATCACTGCACTTTTTTCCTCTCGCACTTGTTGGCGCCGTGTCTCACGGTCTCGTGCAACAATATCTTGAGGGCGATGCCGCCGAGGAAAAGCAGGGCGGATATCAGGAAGATGAAGCCTGGGGTGTACTTGCCAAGGATTGTCAAACCACATAAAGTTACCATCTGGAAGCCTAATAATAAAGGCACGAGGTACACGGCTGCGACCAGGTACAGAGGATGCGGTTTGCGTTTCGGCTTCTCGAATCCGCCGAAACTAGCGGAAAGTTTAGCGACAGGTTCATCGTTAGGTTCCGCGGTGATCGGTTCTTCGACGCGAATTTCGCGCAGAGCTAGCTGACGTAGATTCTCGTACGCGAGGAGGAACCTGATGGTGATATCCTGAAGAAAACGACTGAGACTAATTTGCACTTTGAGCGACTTGGAGTTCTCGAAGGTGTAAAGAAGGTACGGTAACAGGTATAGATTCTGGCAGCAATGGCGGATCTTTTGCATTGACGCGTGTCGAAACAGCATCGGTGGTCCGTTGTAGTTTCCATCTGGCGAAGGAAAGAGAAACGTTTATAATCAGCATCAACATTACGCATTTACTATCATCAGTCGCGGCTGAAAACAGCTTTATTTCGCGAATATATATATGTATAATTTTCGACGAGTGATAAGCCGAGATATTAGTTGGCTAAATATATCTCCAGTTTAGAGAAAACAACTGAATTTGCTCAACAATTATTCGATAACAAGCGTGTTTCTACATGCAAATGTCGAAAGAGTTAGGACTAACGTAGAGAAAAATGAAGTAAATGTGAAGTTTTGCTTATTTACCCTTAAATAAATCGGACACTCGTCTTGCCAGAGTGGGTTTCCTTTGAATAGCATTCTTTTTTTCCATGATTTCTGACGTAATCTGTGACATTTTGACACGATTTTCAAAGAGCACGTTTGCTTTGTAATCACGGAACAATCCTCAAAATAATCTTCCTTCAGATAACTTGATTAGATTATCTGAAATAAATATAAATAATTAGTTATTAATTTTAGAGTATCAAAAGGCGAACATTTTTATGAACGATTGTAACAGACCAGAGATTAAATCAAATGCACGAAATATAATGGAAAATGTAATGATTTTGTTCTTTTACGACGAGCAAACGTAATTCTCGAGACGAAGATCACCAATCAGAGTTTTGGTCAACACTGAACTGAGACCTACGTCGTCGTTCGTTCATGTCGAAGTTGCGGTACAAAAAAAAGACATGATGATTCGATAGCCTTGTCGACCCGAGATTAATTTGTCGATCATAAAAATTTCGCGTGGCTCAATATTATTCACATTACAGTACAGTTTACCCGATTGTGAATTTTTATTAGAACTGCATGTTGATCTATAAACTGGTTTCTTAATTGCAAGTCTTAAATTACATCTCGTAATCTATGATATGAACTTTAATTTAAAATTTTTTACACCAGCTAAGTATACTTTATAATTAAAAAATTACAGGCATTTTATTTGTTTCAAAGTATAAATAAATATGATAGTATAGTTGTTGAAAATATTTTACGAATCAAAAGCTATTACTTTTATTTCCAATTATCACCATTAGCTAAAAGTTAAAAATTAAAATTTTCAAACGAGAATTCTGTTGGGTTGGGACATCGATCGACGGGTTGCTATCTCGCTATTTTTGTATTTTTGTATTTTTATCAAGCGTGTTAAATAAATATTAATGCAAATGCAAAACTCACTCGTTTACTGGCAAAGTGCTATTAGCTTTCAAATAAAAAATTCGATTACAAGTTCATGTATAAAAATAAAAATAAACACTATTTTTAAGTGACAGATAAATTGGGTACAATTGTTAAAATAAATATAAATAAGTTATTACGTGCCAAATAAATTGTGACGCATACAAAATATTACATGAATAAAACGAATCAAATTGTAGAGAATAAAATTTGAACCTGATGCCAAAGTAATGAACGTGCAAATGATTTTTTCCCAGAATTTGTAATTTAAAAAAAATAATTATACTTAAATATACCTGTATGTGTACCATGTTTACTAATTAAGAATCCATCATACGTTATAAATATTTATACACAATATCTAGAATAAAATTTAGAACTAATTTATTCTAATTATTTCTAATCAAAATGTTGATTTGAATAATGCTGAAACTCTGATAGAGCGAACATTAAAACAAAGGATTCTGTTTCATTTGATTTTGAAGACGCATTTAACTCACGTATTAGGGTGCTCACCTTGATGTTACGAATGTCAGTGATGGAGGACGCCTGGAAGATTCACCTGTATCTCTTGTACGAGCGATTAACGACCGCAGACTAACTATACTTCTTGTAAAGATTAAAGACTATGGGAAACTCGCGAAATATGCCCATTCTTCGCGTCGCCTTTTCAACAAACGTTCGCGATCAATAATGCAGCACCCGGCTGGAAGGCCTTGATGTTGGACAGAGTACGTTGCGTCTCGATGCTCGCTCAGCTACTAAACCGGCTTCGGTTGTGTCGACTAGCAACTACCAGCCGCCTCCAACCACCTCCATATGCTCCGAACTTACAACCGCAACCAGCTACGTAAAACATGTCGAACCAATCCGAACGGCAACTTCCGTTAGAGCTGACGCTAGATTGGACGTTACCACCGAGCTACGATCTGGTCGAGATACAATTTTTACGGGAATAACGAGAAGGAGAAAAGAAGGGTCGACGATACGCGTGCACGATCATGCAAACGAGTCTTCTGGCCTCTCGTACCTTCTCGCGGTCTGATTAATGTCTGTAATGGAATTTTTGATGGAATTACACTTTTACATATAACGGAAATATAAGATTCTAGTCACCAAAGTTTTCTCCACGCAGTAAACATTGGAATAATTGATGAGACTCATAATTTTTGACTCTATATAAATTTAGTACTATTTCTAATACAGTCGATTGATTTAACAGATGCTTGAACAGTTACGTAAAAAAAATAATTATTACCTTGACTGTTTTCATATGCAAATGTATAAATATATTTATAAGTATATTTCCATACATACATATTTAATGAGGCAAGGAGAAATCTTTTTAGTCCAGAAAAGATTATATGTATTTACAAGATCAGCATGTATCATCTCACAAAATTGTTAAAATGTCAGCATGAATCAGTTAAAAAATGCTTTAATTATTTAAACGCCTAAATTACATCGCGAAGCTGTTTCGAGAATGATAATAGCCTTTGCTTTTATCCATCATTTCACGTTTCTGATGTAATACGAATATTTGTAAGTAGAGAGGCAGGTAGAAGGAATTCTGCTGCGAAGTAGAAATAAAAAGTATATTCGTTGGAGCGTGTTCAACAAGCTCCGAAGATCTAGAAGGATTCTTCCATGGGATCGATTCTCCACGTTGATGCATGCGAAGTATGCGTGATCAGAGGGCAGAGACGATTCTACTCATTCGTGGGTAGTATGCTCCGATAATAATATAATTGATGAATGTAATTTTGTCAGTGTAAATTGACAGATGTACATTGATTTATAGCGTTTTCGATTGGGGTGCACTGGCTGCACTGAATGTCAGGCGCGTGTTCGATTGGTAGTGCCAATGCGCACTTGGCTAGTGTTGCGTGTTCGTTTGAACGCACAACACTCGCATAGTGCGCACTCAGTGCGCACTAAGTGGCACGAGATATTTTGACGGTGCCAGTTCAGTGCACTGGATGCATGCAAGCAGTAGGGCATTCTTTTGAACGAAAATTCGACATAATGAGCAATTCGGATTTGGCTCTCTTTAATATTTTGGAGACATTTTTGGAATCTTCTTCTAGTTCAAGCGAGCAAGAAGAAATAATTACAACTCTTCGAACTAGAAGAATAATTCCAAAAACTGTAAATTATGTAGAATGTGTGAAAAAAATAGATAATGACACCGTAAGTGTTATATCTTTTTATATAAACATCGAACCTATACCCTTTTTTAAAATATAATTAATGTACTTAATGTAATAGCATTTTTATACTGAATAATAATAATTTTTATATTTGTCATACGTGATATTCTTGATCATCTTCTATATTTAATTACATATAATAAAAATCATTACTTAACTGAACACAAGATGTCGAGGTTACTTTTTCGTTCTTCCCGGAATCTAGTCAACTCAAGTGGCACTGAAAATTTCGGCGTGTTCTTTTTCACCTGCACTATTCAGTGCAACCCATGGAACTTGTCCAGTGTTCGTATGAACTGAGTGCGCACTGGTGTGCACTAACTTTTTCCCAATCGAAAACGCTATTAGAAAAAGTGAGTGCACATATTGATTTCGTTTAAAAGTGTGCGTCATTTTATTGACCTCGCTTTTTTCAAAGCCTCCTGACACGCATCGCACGTGACGCATTGCGTGTTCTCCCATGACTGTTCGACAGAGAGATTCAGGTCGTTCCACAGTAGACACAACAATGTTGCGCGGTAACGATATCTTATTTGAATACGGATGTATTATTCTTGCAATAAGTCAACTCTTTGAAATCACTTGATTTCAAAGTGTCGAGAAGCATCATTGGCGGAAAGTTACCGCTACATCTGATAAGAGTAGCTGTCCTTTAATAATTTATTCGATTCGGTCCAACAGTGTAGACACAACAAATTACGCATTAACGATATCTTATTTAAATACATATTATTCTTGCAATAATTCAATTCCGAATCACTTGCTCGCGAAATGCTAAGAAATCGGGAAGCAATATCGAGCAAAAATTAGCGCTGCATCTTTGATTCGAGTAACTGTCCCTTTCTATAATATATTCGACTTGTTGAATTTTTGGAACAATTCTCTGAAAATAATTTTATACTCTTGTGTTAAAGAAAGAAATTTTGCTTTAAAATAATACACAAGTACTTTACCATCTTTGTACGTACTGGTGTTTCGAAATTGGGTGAAAATACTAAAAATGTGAGCGGATATGGAAGACAAGAAATTTTCTATGCAACTGCATAGAATATAATTTACAATTCAGTTCTGAGGATGTGGAACATATCTCTAACATCTCGGGCTTCTTATCATGCGTTTATTCTAACGTTTGAATTATCATGCGTATCTGGATATCATATTATAATGTAATAAATTAATAATTTTTTCTGCGTTTTCATTTGTGTTTGGCGCTGATGAAGGCTCAAAGAAAGAGCCGAAACGTACGACGTACCTTATATTTGTAACTTGTAATTTAACATCGCAATAAATTGGATTGATAAAAAATATATATCGCGCCTCATTATCTGCGATTAAGCTCTTATAGCCAACCACACTTTAACGATCTTTTGTTTTAAAGAAAGAAAATTAAGCAAAATATGAGCGCACCTGGATCTGTTCGCAAAGTGATTGATCGCTTTATTCAAGTTGTGCAGACATCATTTCAAGTTGCATACCTATCTTGTCGTCGTACGTGACAATTGTATCTTTTAAGATACACATGTAAAACGCGCGCAAAATATTTTTCGTTATCAAATGAGAATTTTATAAATATAATTCGGTAGATATTTTTTAAACCGTCAATTCATCTTCGCCTTAAAAATACATACTTTGCTAACTCATCAGATGCCGAAAATAAGTATACTCTCTGTTCCGAAAGCATTCGCTTGAAAGGAATCAAGACTGTTTGAAACTTCGAGAGAGAATGTTCAAGAAAATTGCAAAATTCTTCTGATAAATTTGCCAGTTTCCGACAATTTATTATTATTATTTTTTAATGGATATTAGATAAACTTTCTCAAAAAATTTTCACATTATATATAAAAATATCCTTTTTATGTGCGTTGCTAAAAGAACATTAGTATCCATCGACGCCCGGTTGTCTTTTGCAATGATATTTTGCTCCCACTTCTCGCTACTCTATTTCTGTATCCGTGATTTTCCTCTTTTTCGTCACTCTTCTTCTCGGAGAGTCTGCGGTTCACAGCGCAAAAGCCAAGCGGTTAGCCCTTTTGCGCATTGCAATTACTTCCACTTATGTGTCTGCAGTCCGTAGATAGAATCTATGAGTATACAGACATCGAATTTATCTGCCGTAATTCGTTATCTGCCCGTGCTCAGCACGTGAGAGCATGCTAACTTTTAACAGATAACTTTAGTGATATTTAACAGCAAAATGCGACGAATGATGTAATTCTCTAAGCAAGGTCGATACTAATAAGTAAATTTTTGGCGACGAAATCGAGAAAATAACAACTTATACAATATAGTCGCAATCTGTTTAATGACTTTGAAAGTCATTATCTGGTTGTGTTCGGACAAGTGCGACTGAAAATATTTATATATTGAAGTAAAAAATTATGTAATCTGTAAAATATTATGTAAATGTAATATATAATTTACACTCTACATTGAAAATTATTGATAATTTCTTTTACATTTTCTAATTTGTATTCTTTAGATTTATCTAAAATTTTTATTACGTAAAAGCTAGATTTATATTTATTATTGAAATTATTTGATATAGATGAGAAACGAATTTCCGTAAAATATATCAAACAACGAAAACTTGAAGTTTGAAACCGGCTAAAAGATTCTAGCTCAGTCCCTTCTCTGTTCTATATCAACAGTCTTAACTATCGTGAGAAGGGCGAACTATGGACTCACACTCATATCACGCACCAGCCCCATTGACCATTCGTTCCAACACGAAATGATCACGTGTTCAGAAAATTTTATTCATAACACAAAACAGAATATTTTATATATATTATATGTTGCATTATTTATTTAAAGTGTTTTAATGTATGTACAGTGCCATTATATTTTTCGAAAAACATACATTTTTTCCAGTTGTAGTATTGTAAATCGGAGCATACATCACTAGTTTTGTTTATATAATATTATCAATATCAAAGAATTAAACTTTACATTATTTTGTTTTATTATGAAAAATATGATTAGAAAAATCAATTATATTCGTAAATATCGACACATAGCATTGTTCAGTTTTGTTACTTCTTTTTTAATTTTGTTGTTTAATAAATGGATAATATATCCTGTTATAAGAATGTTTTCACATCGAAATTGTCAACCTTAAATTTTTAGTTGTGCTCGATTCATAATAATGTTATAATATTTCAATGTAATATTTTTGTAATTTTTGACTCGTATACAAATAATATATGCAAATAATATTGCAAGCCACGCATGTCCATCTTCTCGTTGGTCGCAAACTCTCGCGATTATTGCACTTGACGGTTCGAAATCAAAATTAGTTGTGCCGTCATCACGATGCGACGTGATATTTAATTCGAGGTCTTGCCACAATGTATTCCTCACTCATTGATGTAACGCACATTTGTTTGACGTAAAAGTCTAGACAAATTAGGATTATTATGTCATAAACAATGGAGCAGGAAGACACGAAGATTATTGCAGACCGTTTATAGACCGGAATAAATTAATGGCGAGTGATCAGCCATTAATAAATCCATCTAATTTTTTCTTTTTATTTACTGTGTCTCTCTTTTTCTCATTATAATTATTTTATTAGTTTATTGGAGGTTTTATAACATGTTTGATTTACTTCAATAGTCAGTATGAGAGCAGAAGTTGTCCATGAAAAGCGCATCGCAACAAACGTAATTGGAAAATTGAAAAACAACTTTAGCTTACTTTGTTGCGCAAAGTGCAAAGTGATTATCTTGAATTTAATTCACTCTGAATAATCTAGAATTTAATTTGAAGAATCATTACCTTTTATTTTTAAAATAATAGTTAGAACTCTTGCGCATTTAAAAACCTCATTAGAAAATATAATGTGAATAATACATTATAAGCATGCTTGTTTTTATACGTTAAACATACAACTTATAATAATTTATTGCTTATCTTAATATTTTGGATTCTCTAATAAAAATTTATATATTTAAATTTAAAATTACACAAGAAATGAAAAAACCTGCTTATATGAATAAGTATATATTGATAAATTATTTTATTGTCCTCATTTGAATTTATTCTCATCCTTGATCTTTCAACTTTTTACTTCTTACTTTATGAAGACGGTTCTTAATGCATAATCATTAGGATTTATCTCAAATCTTTGAAATGCTTGTCTCATTATATTTTTAAAAAAATATAATTCACTATCTCAACCGTATTTTTATCAATGAAATAGTCATCGGGAATATCAATTACCATTGGAAATTCTACCATTGGAAAATCTGTTTTCAATGTTTACTTTTTCTAGCGCGCACGATATTTTTTATCGCGATATATCATTTTTCCCAAAGCGCGACTTTTATATAAAATAAAATAAATCGCATCAAAATTTAATGTGATTAATACTCCGCTGCATCGGGCGCTCTTTATAAGGACAGACAAATTTTCATGCGTCCAAATGTGCAACGTTCGCATCAATTATCGACATAATGAAATAGGGTTCTCGTTACATCACAAGAATGCTGAATAAGAGTTAAATTGTTAGGCAATCGATTTCTGATACAAATCGTTTCATTAGGTTAATTAATAATTCTCAGCTTACCTAAGAAAAAACAACGCGATGTGATAGGATGAGCGCGGATTAAAAAGGAAGTGACTGAGCGGAAACATACAAATGTACATGTCTCATCTCAGTTGCTATAAATATTTTTACTTCTTGAAAGCAAAATCACAGCTACATAAAATGTGGTTCCATAATCATTAATATAATAATAATAATATTAATAATAATAATAATAATAATAATAATAATAATAATAATAATAATAATAACGCCTACACGTTCGTCTTGTAGATTCATAAGCTACAAGGCAGACCTGATAGACAAACCTTCAAATAATAATAAAAATAATAATAATAATAATAGAGAATAGTACACAGTGTATTGCCCGCACGCTCGCCTTGTAAGTTCGAAGGCTGCAAGGCGGGCCTGACGAACAAAATTAAACAGTATAATAATAATAATAATAATCTAATAATAATCGATAATATTAATATAATAGTTTCTTTTTTTCTTAGTCCTTACAGCAGCTATTTTAGCACTAACGATCATACGCGATAGAATCTTTCTAGCTTCTTCAAATAATAATACGCTCTACTGATATACGACTTTTCGCTTCACTCTCGTTTTGCTTCCATCGTCGTTTTCGATATAACCACGTATATATATTTTACATTATATAATAATATATATAATTCTCACAAAAAATTATATATATTATATATAATAGGGAAGGGGAAATGGATTTTCTCTCGCGAGATATATTTATAAGGCAGCCATCATATACACATCTCATTGTTAATAGCTTTCTCTCTTTCTCTCTGTCATTCGATCAGAATTCGATTGTTCGCAATTACACTTGAAAGGTATATGTAGATAAACTTTTCATTCTCATCTGATCACATGCTTTCCATTTATTTCCCGTTCGTTCCCTATATTTTCTCACGCATATTCTCGTCGATTCTAAAAAAAAACGCTAAATAAATATTATACAGATTTATCTATCGACCACATGTCCACTCTTCCACATAGTCCCGCGCAAGTGTCTCCCTCGACTTAACATAGTACAACTGTAGTTCGACTTTATTTTCTTTTAGCACTCGACTTTTATAATTTTATGGCACTCATTTAATGGCTGGGCTCTATAGCCTCTCCACGTTCTCGATGCGAACGATACCTTCGTCTTCACTTTTTGCTCTTTTACTTCCAATGTTGGTATTTGCCTCGATATCGCGTTACATCGCTGATACGATACGCGATACCACGAGAGAGCGATGAACTCTCTTCATGATTTTTCATTAAACTGCTGTAAATGAACGACGCACCGTCGACGTGGACAGGATCGATGACTATATCGACTCGCTATGGAATGCTACTATTGTAATATTTTAAGAAGACTATTGTAATATTTAAAGAAAACTATTTAGAATGTAACGCGTTAAACATAACGTCATTGCTATGTCAAAAGAAGTCAAATATTCTTTTATGGATTTTAAATGTTGACGGGGCGATACGTGACGGTTAGCTTATATTATTCCATAAAAAACCTACATATGTATATACTATATAAAAACATTTGTTGATGTTTTTATATTGACGTAACGCTGACGTTATGTTTAATATGCAACACGCTTTAGGATATCGAGTCCATCCTTGGCTCGCTTTCCAATCGATCTGCTAGACCGATGGAATTAAGCATGATCGGTCCTCTTAGAACTATCGCGCGATCTCTCTTGTTTGACTATATTTATTAATATTATAAAATAAAAAATTGTGTGATGTGATTTAAATATAAATTTTCTTCCAAAAAATAAAAGTTTTTAAAAAATTTTTATTAGTTTCTTGTCGCTCGTTTTTATTGCTTAAAAAATTTTGCCGATATCTTTTATGACAATATGGGTCATATGGATAAGAGATATATTCAATTAAAATAAAATTTTTTCATATTACTCATAATGTTCATTTTTATAGCATCTTATATAATGGTTTATTTCACAGTTATTGCCGCTACATAATTGATACTCCTCTGCTGAGGCAGGACACATTTTCGACGATGAAGCGCGACTTTTCATTATGATATTGTACTTTCGATATGTAACATCTTCTGTGAGATATACATATATAATATATTTTTTCTCCATTTAAGAAATTATTCACATCTTTATCGGGATGTGGGAAGAGGTGGGATGTGAACTTTAAACAGTAAATACCCATATTTTTGTGGAAACGGTATCTTTTTGTGATTTTGAATTCATGGTCGACCAATGTCTACGGCATAAATTAAACATAAATAAAATTAGAGCATGGATTGGCAAAATTATTATTATCCAATGCGACGAAAAAGATAAGAAATCGTGGCAATATATTTTAAGTGGAAGAAGTTACATTTTATGATGACATAAATTTTGCAAATTTCTTCAAAATATCTTCACTACTTGATACAACAATGCGCGGTTTCTTCGTGATTTTATATCGAAAATGTTAATTACACAACAATTGCGCAAAAGTAAAAACTGACTCGACATCAATAATAGGTTCTCCCATTGACGATAGTTCTAAAAAATTGCGAAATATTGTATATTATTATTCAAAATCTGTTTTTATATATGAAAAATCAGGAGTTTTCGACACCGATAAATTGTACGAGTTAAATAATTCCTTCTAAAAACAAATCGTAGATGTATTATAAAAAATCTTAAAAAGGTTAAAATGACCACTTATAAATATCGGCGACTATATTTTGCGGTGCTTTTATCTAGTTGATGTATCTTTAAGGCACTAATGTCTTCCAGTTGCTAAAAATCTACGATCGTTTTCCGGTCAGTTGATTAAAGTAAGTCCGTGAAAGCTTTTAATCCAGGAACCATACACGGTATGATCACCGGATTCGATGATCTGCCAGAAAATTGTTATCTTTAATGTTATATCTGTAGTTTTAATAAAAATCTCTCCTCAAAGTTAAAAGTCGACCAAACTGGCAATCATTTATTATAAATAATTGTCAGTTTGGTCGACTTTTAACTTTTGAGGAGAGATTTTTATTAATTATTACTGGCGAACCTTAAGGATTATTATCTGTAGTTTTAAAATTAAGGAGATTCAGTCTTCGATCGATCCATTTTTCTAAATACGATGAACTGTAACTGCGATAAAATTCGATATACTGCTCCGAAATTCGATCATAGCTACACAAGTATGTATACGATATATGTAGATCTAACATTGTAAGTCCATTCGGTTTATCTTTTCTTTCTACATTGAACAAATAGATTTTTGTGTGTCTGTTGTTAAATTGCTAAGGCACGGTTCTACAAGAGTTCAGAAAAAATCCTAAAGGCACCCTAGCGCGTTTCTCGCCGAGCAGTTGTGTAAAATTTTTCACACTATGTTTAATTATCTGCCGAGAAAATATATATGTGTGTGTAAATGTCTCTACTCGTCTCTATACGTACGTACGTTTACAACATACGTATTAAACTCTCCGGATAGTCCTTATCGCGTTCATCCGGCTTTATTATCTCTCGCCGACACATGTGCAAACGCAGACATATTGTTTTAAAAAAAATAGAAGATAAATAAAATTAATATCATCATTTTCGTCTAGCTCTTATCTATTATATTTAAAAATAAGAAAAGCCAAGATGCGACAAAGAGTATACGGCGAGATTTAATTAAATGTGCAACAATAAATTTTGTATATGAAATGAAAACGAACAGAATTGTACCATCGTTGAGCGTGTTTTAGAAATAGAAGCGCGAGAAGAATCTGTTTCTCCCTCCAACGACTCGTACCAATCTCACAATATATACATATACACTATACACACATAAATTAATCAGCTTTGCATTACACATGTCGCGTTAGCGTTCGTTTTTTAGAATATATTTCAAATATACTTTTTCTTTCTCGCGTATACATACATAATTTTTGTCTTTCAATCTTTTAACTCTCGTTTTTCTTCTTTTTTAATTTGATCGTTCAACGACCGTCGCTCTGTCTCATTCTATTCTCCATTCTTATGTCTCGGCTCGCAGTCTTTCTAATTAAACTCTCAATTTATCAATACTGCTCGTAATATTCATCGCGTACCCTCCAGAACGTAATCCAGACCGTAAATATGCGTATGTCTTTTTATTTTATCGCGTTTTTAAATATTGAATATATATATATTTATAATTATCGCCAACTGCACAGTAAACATCCAATCATACTAATTAAAAGTAAATAAATAATTTACAATAATTATGACAGAAAAATTCATACAAGACGACTTTGTTTTAAAAATTTTTACCGTGAAATATGTATAAAAAGATTCGAAAAAGTAGATTCAAACATCATAGATATATTTAGCTTCTATATCTATCAAATTTTTTCGATATTAATTGTGCAACACGAACGCCGATAAAACCCAACAGTTAACTATGCAGTCTAGTCGATAAAAAAGTATCCTCTCCTCAGATTCTTCAGTGTCAAAGCGGAAGATATGCGTAATCTCCATTGTTTTTGCAACATATCGTAATCGGATTATCACGTTGCTGTTTACTATTACTATTTCTTTTCCCGTCTGCTTTGCAGATGCAATGCATTAAACTATTCTACAATTTAGATCGTCATAAAGACTATTCACGCGGAGGATACACAAGATGATACTAACGAAGGGAAAAATTTACAAGGTTTCTCTTGTGTTTTTTCTTCTCTCTATTAAATATTATAGTATGTCTTTTTCATGCTAAAGCTATGTTATAGGCTTGTCTTCGTATTATTGTCTTAGATGCTACGCCACGTTCTCACGCCTTCGTTTTCTGGTTCCCACAAGAATCATGGACCCGAAAAAAATTATATATTTTGTGAGATTCGACTATATATAAAACCTTGTAACTCTCTCGGTTTTTAATTTTTCGCGTACTAATATTCCGTCTTGTCGATATTCATGGAAGCGTTCCTAAAAGAAAAGACTGTTCGATGATCGTTTTCCGATCTTACATCGTCGGTCCACGTCACTGCTCAGTCTCTAAGTACGAAGAGACCAAATCGTCTCGACGTTTTACTCGACGTATTATCGCAGATACCAAACGTAGTTTGATTTGAAGGTTTCGAACGTATTAGTATGCATCCTGAAGATAAACGTTATTGACTAGCCCCCTACCGGTTACCACTGACCATCCGTATTACCAGGAACATTGCTCGATCGTAAAGGACCGAGGCACTTTTGAGTGATCTTTCGGGGAATGTTTATAGGGACTAGGAATATGTCTTTTTAACAGATCTCGCGTCTCCGGAATTTCGCGGACATCCGCGACTCTCGCGAAACAATAATCGACGGTGGGCATCGAGTTGAAACGAAGTCGTTGACTAGCCCCCTACCGGTTCCGCTGAATTTTTCCACCTAGTCGGGGGAAGATGGCCGCGCCATTCTCTAGGGAATGTCTATAGGGGCCAAGGTAATGCTTTATTCGAGCGTCCTGCCACGCGCAGGATCTTTTACGGGAGATCGTTAAGTGTCCATGTGTCGGTACTTGTGCGCCGACATCTGCGCCAGACCCAACACCGCGTATTGGCACTGCAAGCAATGATAATGAGTCTGCTTGCCAGAGTGCTGGCACTGCACGGCCCCGCAGGGCTGACTGGGAGTGAACTTTTGGAAACCCGCCGCCGCGATGCTGTCCAGCTTGGCGTGCTGCCGCCGATGAGCGACCACCTTGTTCGTGTCCGTGCAAACAAAGTCGCACTTCAGACAGTGAAAGTGCGACGCCTTGTTTTGCATCGAACCGAGGGACGACGTGTACGCGCACTGAGCTCTGCCGCAGGGCACGTTGGCCCGGTACTGCTGGAAATCGCCGCCCATCAAGGTGTCTAGTCGTTCGTGCCTCGCGGTATGTTGTACAAAGCGAGTTTTGTCGCAGAACGAATAGCCGCAGTCTTGACGCATGCAGTGGAAATGTGTCTGATGCTCTCTGTAACCGCAATGAGGGTATCTGCAGTCCTCGTTGAATCTGAATCTGCAACGACAAAGTTGTATTAAAGAGAATTTCAAAATCTCGTTATTCATTCACAAAATCATCATATAGTACCAACCTGACGTATCCTTCCGGGACAGGCTCGTCCTTCAGCATACGCATCGAATGATGAAGTCTCTGTTTCTTGGCTTCCGGCGAGTTGATGTCCGGTGAGAGAGATCTCTTGTTCATATTCAAATTGGCCGCCAGCGAAGCTAGCGGATTTTCGTCTCTCGTGGGTGGAAGAAAGTTTGCCGGCGGTAAACCGGGTGCGAACATCAGTCCGGGTGCACCGGCGTACATTCCGCCATGCTGCAGAAACGGCGGTAGAGCTTGATTCATCAGAGCGATTTGTTGGTTCATAGCAGCCATTACGGCTGGGCTCGGAAAGTGAAAGCCGTGGCTGAGATCGAGCTCGAAGCTCGTCGGCACCGCACTCGGTTGTTGCACATTGCTAGGTTGCATCGGCGGTTGCGACAATTGTCCGTTCTCGTGAGTATCTACCGTGGAATTGTTACCTTCATCCCTGTCGGATGCGATTTCGAGCGGTTCCCGCTTAACGTTCGGGACATTTTGCACACCGATATCGATACTGCACCTCGGTTTCTCCAGCTTGATATCCTTCGTTTGGGACTGTTGACTGAGAGTCTGCTGCATTTGCCGTTGCATTTGACTTTGAAAGTTCTGAATGTTCTGGGCCATCTGAGCATTCGGCAACATAAAGTCGTTGCGCTTCTGCGACAACTGCGCCATGTAGTCGTGTTGCAGTTGATTAGGCGACGGGCTAACCATATCGTGTTGCTGCTGGCTGAGAATCGCCCCGGTAGAATGCTTCGCTATGTGCGCGACCAAGCGATCCAACTCGGAGAAGGCCTGATTGCACGCGTTGCAGTGATAATGATTTTTGCGTTTCAGCTTGCAGAATGGTCTGCTGCAGCTCTGTTCCGGTCCGTAGAGAGTGTGCGGCGAGGTAGAGCTCATAGAGGGCATGACCGGTGGTTCTACAATGTTTTACAAGATTTATCTGTGAGATTGAATCGTGTCCTTGAATCGAACGCGCAAGACAGCGACGAGGAAAACTAATTTATACCAATACGAGAACACTCTCACAAAAAGCACAAAAAACTTGATACAAAAGAGAGACGAACCTTGGTGCACGGAAGTTCGCATGGATAGCACGACGCCCGGAAGTGCGGGTTCGCTCGGCGGTCCGCTGACCGGATAATAGGTGCCAGCCGCCCTCACCACTAGCAACAATCAACCAAACAACCAACACTTCAAATATTACCGCCCGCTATACAACCACCGTGTATGTACAGTATATACATATACATCGAGAGAGAATGAAACGGTAAAACAAACAGTCTCGTGAGACAAAACAAACAACGGAGGAGTAGCGAAGAGTGTTCTACTTCAAATGCAAGGTGTGACGACGTGTAAATTGTTGTGCGCGATTACGTGCAGAAGAGCATGCATACGTAGTCAAATAGCAGAAAGGTCTCTGTCGTGTTCTTTCTCGAAAAAAAAATCTATCACTACCAAACGAAATTGATTTAAAAAATTAATATCGAAGTCGGTACCGTTTCATGGTCCTTTTTTTCATACTTACCGGTAGTTTTACCGCTATCCGGACTCGCAAGCTCAGATTCTTTATCCTCGATCATCGATCTGCTCTCTGAATCTCCCATCAAACTCTCATCGGGTTTTTCGATCAGCTCGGCAGGATTCTTCACCTGGATCCTAGGTTTCGTTTCTTGAATCAACGACTGAGATTGCGTTTGACATTCCTGATTGTTCAATTCCTGGCACGATTCAACGTGATTGGAGTGCTGCTTCTCGTGTAACGCCATTGTCGAGTACCTGACGAATGAATATCCGCAATTCGGTCTGGTACAATGGAAATGCCGATTAACGCGATTACTGTGACAGCCAGTCAATCGACAATCGACCATCTTATCGTAGAAAGCGAAACCGGGCGGTATATCAACGTTGTCGTGAAAGTCCTTGCTGTGCATGAGCAATTGATCCGCCCGATCGGTAAAGAAATAGCATCGTGGCTGCGAGCAATGATGATGCCTGATCGATCTAAGTATACAGGATGGGTCTGGACATCCTTCCGGATTGTAGGTGGCGAATCCCTCGGGTTCGCCCAAACTATTCGAAGGCGATACGCTACCCTCTCGCTCCTCCAACAATGGATTCGACGTTAAATTAGAGATTTGCGGTTTAGGCAGCTTGAAACTCGTAAAGATCGCCTGCGGCGAATCGTGTGTGTGAGTCGTGGGATCGCCGCCCGACCAGATTTCGATCACCCGATTTTTCGGCGGTCTACCGCGCTTCCGCCTAAACATCGCGTCGATATTCGTCAGATGGGTCAACGTGACGTCGGGAGAGAGGGCGTGCGAGGGACAGGAGAGGTTCAATTGTCGACTGTACTCGTGGATTTTATAATGTTGCAATCTGCGGAACGGTTTGTCAGTGGAAAGTATCACCTCTCGACAATTTTCCCAATTGCAATGATAATGCTTCTCCTTGTCCGCATACGGACAATTGTCGTCGCAGCCGCCCTCCTCGAAGAAGGCGTCTGTTATACGTTCCTGCGTTTCGTGTTCCTTCAAATGCTCCCTGACCTCGCGGGGATCCTTCAAGGTCGCCCCGCAGCGATCTAATCCGCAATGATGATGGTCTCTGCCGACGTTACAGGCGCAGTCCGCAGTGGCCGGTATCAGATAAGCCAATTCGGTAGCGGTGAGTTGTTGAGATTGTTGAGATTGTTGCTGCTGCTCGAGATTGACGGAACTTCCGCTGGCCGTGATGATAGTCGTAGGTGCGGTGAGATCCATAGCGAGGTCACTTCCGCTCTGAAAGGAATCGTCCAAGGAATAGTACGACGGAGAACCTCTACCCTCGTTGGAGCTTTCGCCGTTGAGGCTTAACGACAAGCTTTGAGCGCTCAATTCGTCCGGGGCCCACGATCCCGGTGGACGAACGCCACCCACGGTGCCGACACTCTTGTACTTCCGATACGCCAGTTCCGACTCGTGACGCTCGTGTTTCCGCTTGTGCGAGAAAAGCTGACCGGAGGAGTGCAGGACGTAGCTGCAGTGCGGCCGTATGCAGTGGATGTGATTGCAAACCCGAGAGAATCGACACTGTTCGAAAGGACAGGCCTCCGATTTCATGAACTTCTTGAAACCGTCCCGCGACAATTGTTCATCTTTGATGTGGTAAGACTTATGCTTATCTAGAAAAAAAAAGAATGGAAACTTGTCGATTAAATCATGCAAACTTGAAAGGAGGACAATATAACGAGATGTGTCGGGTTAAAAATTTATCGTAATGTTAATCGTTTTTCGAAACGTTCGACATTTGTGTGAAAGTTTTTGATTAACGATAGCTTCGACCTAGAATGCGAGAATCTGCATATTAATCATGCATACGTCAAACGTCATTTCTTACCTATGTCGGCCTTATTTTTAAACGTATATCGGCAACCTAGTCGCCGACAGTGAAAGTGCGTGGTCCGTTGACCGGCAAATTGGCAATAGTCGGTCGCGCAATTCTCGGTGGCTCGAAATCGCTGGAAGCCCTCCTGTATGATGGCCGAATCTTTGCGATGATAATTTGCATGCATCTGCACGTCCGACGTCGATATGTACACCTTGTCGCAATTTTCATGGATGCAGTGATAATGGGTTTGTTTTCTATTGTGCGGACAGACACGACCGGGATGCTTTTCCGAACAATCGTCCGTCGGCGAGTATCTCATGAAGCCGTGCTGCAGAGATTCATCCCTCTTCTTGTGCCACTTGAAGTGCCTAATCATTTCCTCCTTCTTCACGAACACCCTGCCGCTGCAGTCCAGACAATGAAAGTGCTCCCTACAACCCAGTTCCTTGCAATACGTACTGCCACATTCCTGACCGGATATGTATCGCTTCACGTATCGAGAGTAATCGATGATCGGTTGGGAGACTGACGTCTTGGAACCGCTCATCAGAGAATCCGCTACCGGAGACATACTCTGCCTGAGCAAAGCTGTAACAAGACAAAAAGAAAATTTATTTGTCTAATCAATGTACGTACGAGGCGATATATTTCGTTATAGAATTGTTTCGTATTGAAAAGAACTACAGAATTTTTATTTTGATTCATAACGGTGCAATAAACTTTGACGGATTGTTTGAGAGATCATTCTGAATAAAAAAAAGTAAACAATAAACAATGGTTTTATTTTTAAAACTTGCTGCGTATATAGTTGCGAAAATTAAAAAATTTTAAAAATTTTTGCTAATATATTGCTAAAATCACACGCATAGTAAGAATTGACGAAGAAGTTTAAGAAATCAAAATAAAACAGGATATAATATGGATATGCAAACATTTTGTTTTTTTTTGTTTTTACATTTCAATTTTATAATAAATGCTCAGAATGTGTTAATTGTAAGCTTGAATAAGCAGGAACTGACTTAAGGAATGTTGATTCCTCATTTGTACATTTTAAGCATTTGCTTTATAAACTGAATTGTTAATCAATAATATTTGCATACTATTTTGTTTGTTTCAATTCCTTAAAGATGATGTGATTTTACTATAATTATAAAATTTCTGTAACTATGTAAATATTGAAAAATACATTTATTTAAATATTTTACTCAGATTGACCTCTTAAACATTCATCTGTCGAAGTTTGTTACACTCGTTCTGAGTCATGTATATATGTGCTATACAATAGGATAATACTCGTAGACCAACGATCAATCGTCATTTCACAAATATGTTAATAGCTATGTGTCAAATTCAAATTATGTTACGTATATTTATATATAAAATATATGTATGTGTTGACGTAATTGTAATTTCATACGTAAAACGTCAAGAAAATCTAAATGTTGTGCGTCGATCTCGCATTTCAAATTCAAAGATCGATAAATCTCGACGGATTACAGTAGGCGACTGCAGTAATGGAAGATACAACACGAACTGAACAGACGATCGCTGGTACGTTATTCCTCGCTGGTACACCGTCTCTTCCTCACAGGCAAATCGTTTCACTTTACCGACCGCGTGTTCTCTCTCCATCGCTCGGCGTTCTGGACAATATTCGACTCTGGTTCGCATTCACATCCACCAGAGGAGAGACACGCATACCGGAATGACTTCTGATACACATACCGAGAGTTATGAACGCGCCGTTCGTCGACCTACGGCACTCTCCCGCGCGCGACCGAAAACTGGTTGTCCGCAACTTGCCATGCCGCGAGATAAAAGAGAGGGCGAATAAAGGAAAAAAAAGAAGTGGGAGGGTGCGGGAGAGAGGAAAGAATGGTCGGCGTAAAAAAACTATCGGGCCGATCGCAATACGCGTATGCAAAAAAGCGCGGCGTGGCCGCGGGCGAGGCGAAGACGCGTAAGCATATATTCGTTCATAGCGCTCCTAAAAGGCTCTTGAAACGCAAGCGGCACGCAAGAAAATATTGAGCGGGAGACGCAATTCGGTTGACCAATCCTCGCTCGCGATAATTATCTCCCGAGGAGGTAATTCGCACACGAGAGAAAAAAAAGAGAAAGAGATGAAAATAAACTAACTACGCACACGCTTCTCCCATTTTTTTTAATGCCTAAATGATTGATTTTACAGTTAAAGCTGTCTCTTAAGTCGATGGAGTTCATTTGCATTTCTTTCCTTTGTCGGAATGAGTTTAAATTTGATTAATTAAACCGATATTGTTACCGCGTCTGACTTTTTCGCGAATGCGATAATATATTTTGATCGAAAACATTCGTGAAATAGAAACGTTAATGAAATAAACTTCAACAGATGATAGAGTTGCAGAATCGATCGAATATTAGTCCGACCGGTTTGTCTGTATCTCCTGCAGATTTCTGTGATCCATCGAGATCGATCTATCTTTATATTTTTTTGAAATGCGCAAGACGCAAGTTTTATACATTTCGTTAATTTATCGGACATTGCGGAACCGATTACGGAACGGTAATAAATCACATTGACTCGGGGTCCCGAGTGTTCTAATCCCATAGCATTTATCACGCCGTCCAGCGGTTCGGTGCACTCCACCAGGAGGACGAGGTCGATTCTCAGAAATGTCTACGTGCGCGCGCGTTCAGGAACGAGTTTAAAAATTGTCGAATATTTCTCGGTGAGACTCTCGCGGGAGGGATTCCCCGCTCTTCTCGCGGTGGTATATGTGCGGAAGAAACGCGCCCGTACATTGGCCGCCCGTGCGCGCGTTTCTGCGAGAGCGTATACGCGCGCACAAAAAGAGAAAGGGTTTTGGTCCCGGAGAGAAAGAGGCAGACTCCCTGACAGAGGCGAAGGAAGAGGGAAAACGTCGGCGAGGGAAGATTATTATTCTTCGAGCGTTAGAGGATGGTCGCGATAATTTTTATCAAAAGAGTTCCAATATATACATATATATTATATATAATATATTCGAATCGTTTCCCGGCGAAATCGAACGATGAACTCTCGGTAAACTCCGGCGAATTTAATAATAATAAACGTCGGTGGTGTGTCACCGGATATGCTCCCGGTTACGCGCCGTTGCGTAACAGAGTCGGTATTACGGCGATTAATTTATCCTTTGGCAGTGTAATTACGCAACGCAGCTGCGTGCCGCCGCCGCGTATCTCGCGCGGCCGTTCATTAGAGGCACCTTTGGCTTTCGCGCGCAGCGAGAAATTATTGTTTGCACAAATTCATAATTCGCAGACTGTGCCGTCGCCGTCGTGTTTACCGGGTCGCCAAGCATCAAGCACGTAATCGAGGAGTGCTCCTGCTCGGGCCAAGGTCTACGCGTCGTATTAATCGGAGATATTAAATATTTAACGGCGAGAGAACGCGTCTCTGAATCCATCTGCATATCCAGCAATGTCAAATAGTATACAACGCGAATTAATTATGCGCACGGGGAAGCGTGTCAAAATCGCGTGAGTGCCGCGCGTAAGTGAAACACATCGCGATCTTGAGATGCCTTCAGAAATTGAAAGCAACGATACGCAGTCTCGATGCAAAGTGTGATTAACGTTAATTAAAGCGCTAGATCTTAATAGCATAATAGAACAATTTGCGTCATTAATTCATTTTAGCGTAATGAATAAAAATATTTACAATACTTTTCGAGTCTCACGGAGTGTCCCGCAAGGTTCCGCGAGATTTTCCTAGACACCGAAAAAATTGTATTCTTAGCGCCAAGAGAATCCTCTTAATTTAAGAAATTTCTCTAAATTTTAGTATATTTTTTTTCTGAACATGAGAATAAATTAGATTTTATAAACAATTTTTTCCTGTTTAACGATTATTGCGTCGCAAGAAAAATATATGATAATCCAAAATTTCCTTTGCATAGAAAATAAATACCACCCACGCGGGTGCGCAGTTATCGATGGGACCAAATGGAGGATATAACACGACGTGACATGGCCTAAAGAGCAAATCTTAAAAAATATGTGAAACGACACGTAGCCAGGAGGATCCCTCCCTCCTCGCATCCAGCGAGGCTTTGAACTCGAACCCTTTCATATGTATGTAGTTCTTAAAGCCGCTCGCGGAGTGGGGTGCGATCTCGAATCGCGGAGAGAGATGGAAGCCGGGCCGACGACAATCCGAGAGGGGGGCGCGGGAGGGGAGGGAATTTAAAATTTTCAAAAAGACCCGAACCTGAAAAGACCCCGTATTTCAGGGTCGCCGGGGCTCTCTCTCTCTTTTTTTATCATTTAATCCGTGGGCTGAGCGAATAACCCTTTATATACGGGCCATCGAGGTATACCGTGCCGAAAACGGCTGCTGCCTCCATCACGTGTGTACCAGCAGTCTCTCCCTCTCTTCGTGTACTTACACGTGCGTTTACACGCACGTCTACGCGCACACACGCACTAGAAGGGGTTAACGTAACCTACGTGAAACTGCGTGTTTGGATAATGCGTGGAGTGCCCGCTGCGCTCGCTGATTCGTCTTAGCCACGGCGACCCCCATTGAACGCTTTTTCTTCTCGAGAGGTTCTAAATACCGACGAAAAAAAAAAAGAAAGAAATACAGGCACTGAGGTACGGGCATGCCCCGTCTGCATCGCGCCTTCCTCCTCTTTCCCTCCGAGTCAGGCTCGTTCGCAACCCTTCCTCGATGGTCCTCGTAGCGACATTGTTTCCGGAAAAATGGCTTCGCGAATAGAACCGCCGACCAGATGTCATTTAATAAACTAGAATCAACGTCAGGGTACTCGATATCGATTCCAAGTATTTCGTGCCACATGGCGAGCGGAGCGAAAACTAAATTTCTTATCTTTACTTTGTTTCAGTACGCGAATTGCGCAACAAGTTAAATCCGCCCTTTAATCAAAATCTAATGAAATATTTATATAAATTATGACTGGTAGTGAAACTTAAAAAATGCATCGCATCGTATTTAATAATGAAAATAAGTTTTGACATAGAGTTCAATAATAAGTAACGTCATCGATACGGATCATTTGTGTTAATAAAAGTCAACCATCGTCGAATGATGGATTTCTAGCATTCGTCCGAATGTGTGCTAGGAGTACGTCGGCGCCAGCATCAGCGGGGACTCGTACAAAGGGAGAATACGGGGAACGAGTGGCAGATGATGGGGAACGTGAGGGGTAGGACGAGGGCGAAGGGGAGTGAAATGGAGAAAGTGAATGGAAAGAGACGGGAAGAGAGCGACCGACACTAAACTATTCTAAGATCCGCAAGAGTGTCGCGAACTTATTGTCTCTCAGCAAAGGCGCGCACGACGGTGTTATTTCTGTCAAAATTACGTTATGGTCGCTATTCTCTTCGGGATTTGTCCCGCTACCATTCGTTTAACACTTTCCATCTACACGATCCCTCATCTCCCGGTTTTCTTTGTCTCGGCTCCCCTTTGTTTCCTAGATTATACGATGTTATTTTTTCTCTTATTGTATTTCTCAGATTAATAATCTTTGGATATTGGAACAAACATCTTTTTCCAATATTTTGTTTGCCAAACGAGTGATTCGGATATAAATTTTTCTCAG